CTGGGCATATCAGAGGGGATATGTTGGCGACATACTGGTATGTGAGGGGATGTCACATGGAGATGGGTAGAGACCTGTTCTCCCCTGCAGAGGAAGGCAGAACGCGCTCCAACGGAGCAAAGCTCAGGGAGCCAAGGTTTCGTTTGGATGCCAGGAAGCACTTCCTGACAGTCAGGACCCCGAGGGTGTGGAATGGGCTTCCATGAGAGGTCGTTGAGGCCCCATCGGTGCAGGTGTTCAAGGACAGGCTGGACGTCCACATGGTGGGCATGTCATGAGCGGAGCCGGCTGGTGCTGGAGGTCAGACTAGATGGCCTGGGAGGCCCCTTCTGACTCGCTCTGTTTCTATGTTTCTATGTTTGTGCCAAGTGCAATCAATTGCCCTCAACAGCAATGATGTTGTCTTGGATTGTGTCCATTGGAAACTAGCTTAGCAAAGCACTCTGAAAACTAAACAGGATTCTAAACGCAAAATGTGTTTTCTAAGTAATATACATGTGTTTTCTAATAGCCTAATTAGATATGATATCAGGCCAACCATGCCTTAGAAGGTGGTCTACTTCTAAGGGGATATTAAGGATGAAATTGACATTTCCTGCTTCTGTTCCACTGCCCACCTGCACCAAGTTCCACCCCATGGCTGCATTATTTTTGCCTATGATGCAAGACTGAAAAGAGGGGGAAGAAGCACAAGTAGAGAAGAATTTAGCACCTTCTTCCCACCTGCTGCTGCTCTAAATCATTGATTCTCCCCCACACCAACCCCCTTTCTCCAGGATCAAAGGTTAGGATCAAAGAATGAAAGCAGGGGTTGGGAATGAAAGACAATGTTCCAGGGGAAACTCGGGCATGGAAAAGTACACCTTACACATGCAAAACACGATATTGGACAAATGCTTACGATAGCAGATCATTTAAAGCTACCATTTTAAAGCCTATTTATTTTGATGGGAAAAATTAAGTGGGAGCTTAACTCCCTCCCAATAAACCAAATGAGCTTTAAGGCGGCAATGTTATGTACCTGTCATCATATTCAGAAATAAGCCACACTTAGCAAAGTAGAATTTATTTCCAGGCAAATATGGATAGAACTGCACTGCCCTTTGGCTGCTTCTTAGCCTATACAATTTCCTTTTAAAGTGCCCATTTAAAAAAGCTAAGACCCAAGACTATTATAAGGGGCATAAGCCCCAAAATAGTATATAAGCATTTGATTCACTCTGTGTGTGGGACGGGGTGGGACGGGGGCACAGGTGAGAGAAAGAATCATCTTAGGTTGTAATTTTGAGCTCAGTTGCAGTCATGCAAAATATTGGTGGTTTTAAAAAAAAAAGCAGAAAGGGACTTACAGCTAAAAGGAATTATATTTTTTTCTTTGTTTTAATAAAATGTTTTGTTTTTTCCTACCAATTGGAGTAATCAGAAATGGATTAAATGGAACAACTTTCTGACCTGAGTATAATGAGTGGGGAGCCCTAGAAGTGCTTGGGCTACAACTGCATTATTGTGGTGGCTGTTGCATTTATGTCCCAGTTTTTTTTTCCTCTTGCAAGAAATTCAAGGCATCTTACAGGACTCTCCTTCTCTCGCTTTTTCTCTCTTCACACCAACAGTCTTTGTGAGGGAGTCAGTGCCTGGCTGAAAGTTGCCAGTAAGCTTCACAGCTGAGTGAGGTTAGACCTGAGAGCCCAGCTCAATGCTCTTGACCATTACTCCTGACCAATGACCCTGCTGGGTTTGTTTGTTTGTTTGTTTGTTTGTTTATTTATTTATTTAAAACATTTCTATGCCGCCCCCATCGCAACAAAGCCTCGGGGCGGCTCACAACAAAAACAAAAACATACAAAATTATACAAAAATTATACACTAAAAATATTAAAACCCAGTGCATCTCGGCTTAAAATTTTTTAAATCCTACATAATAAATTAACACTTAAAATAAGTTTTAAATAAAAAGGTCTTAGCCTGGCGCTGAAAAACAAATAACGACGGTGCCAGGCAGACCTCTCTGGGGAGCGCATAACTGCCATGGCGCAGAGCCATAGTCCCCCAGCACCACCTGCTGAAATCGGCCGCTGAGATAGGAGTGGAACCAATGCCACACGGTTGATGCTTATGGGAAGTAGAGTCTAACTCCAGCTTGGAAGACTTCAGGTTTCTACCCCAGGTTAACTGCAAGCTTTCATGCAAGCTCCATCCCAATATGTCAGAGATGGTATTGGCTGGTAGTTAACTGGGGCTGAAGAACCAGGTCTGTAGCCTGCAAGTACAGTAAGATCCAGAACTTCCTTTGGAGGCCCAGGCGGCCACCGTGGCACCAAATTCCTTTCACCAGCTAAGGCTAGCTAGCTGATGGGCTGCACCCTCTTATGACCCATGACTTCACAAATGAATAATGACCCAACAGCAACACAACAAAAACTTTTCTGCGATAATCCAGAAATACACGGAGCTACCATATGAAAAATAAAGGGGCTTATGAAATTAGGATAGCATTGTCTACAGATAATAGGATAACGCCATTTAATTTAAGGGAGTCATAACTTATCAAACCTAGATAGGAGGGAAGATCAGGCATACATAGCGTAAATAAACCAAAAGCAAAAACAACTCTTTCACTACCTTCATAAGTAGAAGAAACAATTTCAGAAAATATTTCTCAGAAATATTACTTCTGTACCATTTGTTATTTTTCTCCTTTAAATTGCCTTCCATGGAGGCTGTGAATTTGCATTTTGTGTTAGTAATCAGTTATCAGAATAAACATATCGCAGCAACACCCTCTCCTGGAAGGAGATAGCTTAGCCACAATTATTCATCCTCTGCTAACATTCCACTTGGATTCCTGTAGTTCTGCACTTGAATATGGTTCAGAAATTGCACCTATAAAAGAAGGCAGATGACATCTTAAAACAAGAGTGGGGAAAATGGGAATCTCCAGGCATTATTTTGACATATTTCCCATCATCCCTGAGTGTTAGTCATGCTAGTTGGGCTATTAGTTCTTTGGATCCAGCTCTGTGCCTTTCTTCTCCCACTGTACTTGATGCATAATGATACATTTTCAAACAACCAAAATAAAATGAGCTTTAGTGAATTAAAATTCATTTTCACATATTAATCCACTGAGGAGTCTGTGGATTAATGTGCCAATGAAGCTAATTTCATTTCAGCCCTAATCTCTTGCAATCATCTTCATCCAAACTTTTGTATACAAAAAATGGAAAAACTTAATTCTCAGAAATTATGTTTTCCTCCCAATTTGTCCTGCTAGTCAATAGCAAATTGAATCTCATTAGGAAAAAAAATAATTTCTATCCATGAGAGGATGATGGGATAAAAGATGCCTGGCAATACATGAAACACAGACAGAACCGATTTAACAATTCGCAATCAAAATCATTTGAATCTCTTGTGGATTTCTCTGACATCCCTAAAATTGACAGCTGCCTTTAAGGAACCAGAATGTTGCCCTTCCAACTTGGCAAGAAAAATCCATTTATTGACTCATGTTTATATCTTTAATGGAGTCCAAATTTGTATTTCATGTTCCTTGAGGTCTGACCATCTGCCACTGTTTATTTCAACATGTCTATAAAACAGGAGCTCAACATGGGAAGAGAATGCAAAGTCAGCTCCCGGATTTCAACAGTCAATAGCTGTCTATTTGCTATTGTCATCCCTTACTGATTGATATCACCACTAGAAATTAGCAGAGTTTTATTAAATTCATAATATTTTCAGTTTTACTTGGTGACTTGTAAGGCTATTTAGAACAAAGAATGCAAATGAGTGTACTTGACCTTTCAGGTTCTATTGTTTTCTTTTTCATATTTTTACCACTTTTCTGTAAGTAGCATGTAAGAGACCAAAGGCAATACAATCAACAACAATCCCATTAAAAGCCAATCAAGAGCAATCCTGTTAAAATTCAATACTGTTAAAACACGAATACTACCTAGAAATACTCACCCTGTTTGTCTACTTGGTTCAGAGGTGCTCACTCCAATGTACAGGATTGCAGCTTAAAACAGCCAAATCAAAAGGCTCTATCTTGGCACCTTTACTAAAAGCAGAGAAAAGGAGGCAGCTTCTTAGGAACAGTAGCTTGCATCTTAACTGTGGCAGTAGACTTTGACCAGCAGTCCTGCCCTCTGCTTTTCTTCCTGTTGCAATTCCTTTCACTCCTTCCCACACAAGACGAGTTCTCCTACATCAGACCAAAGGAGCAGTCCAGCATGGAGGGTCAGCAAGTCAGACGGTCTTAAAAAGGGATCAGATCAACCAGTGGAGGACAAGGCTAACAGGAAGGCACTGAGAGCCAGTGTGGCACAGAGGTTAAGAGCCTGGGACTGGGACTCAGGCGATCCAGGTTCGAGTCCCCGCTCGGCCATGGAGCCAAATGGGTGACTCTGGGCCAGTCACAGACTCTCAGCCCAGCCTACCTCACAGGGCTGTTGTTGTGGGGATAAGATGGAGGAGGAGAATGATGTCAGCTGCCTTGAGCCCTTTGTAGGAAGAAGGCAGGCTGTAAATCGAAATAATAAATAAATAATAAATAAGACTGTGCTGCCCCCAGGTTCAGAAGCACTCTGTCTCTACACCCCAGATGCTGGAGACCTGACTGGTGGGGAGATTGGTCCTCAGGGCTTACTTGGGGGTCTTCACAGTCAGCTGGATGTCCAGGGTGAGCATAAGATGCTGTGCTAGGTAGAATCCTGGTTTGACCTGGCAGGCTTTTCTGAAGTTAGAACCCAGCACATGCCTGCCTTTTTGTTATTATTAAATGACAGGGCAGACACCAAGCTTAATGTCTGGAAAGAAATTAACCATGGCACATTTTTTCTGTGTTTGGTGACAGAAGTACTGTTTGATGCCTGAGAAGAGTACGCACGGAAGCTACTACTGAATGAGACATCAGTGTCCTCTAAGCACCACAACGGCCGTCAGCTGAAGATCTGAGAACACACGACCAAAAAGACCATCTACCCTCCCCAAATATGTCTATGAATAATTCTCCAAATGTATTTTCAGACCCTACTCACCACAGATTTCAGGTTAATGTTGTCAATGAAAACCACGACAATGCAGGGCAGTTGCAGGGGGATCCCGACCTGCAAGGTTACGACGAGGCCCCTCTTGCAAACGAGGCCAGCAATAGACTCCAGATCAGCTTCAGGCCTGGAAATCGGGACGTATATGACAGCATCTTTCAAAATGGGGATCCGGCCAAAGTGGATGGAAGCTTTCACCCCTATGATGCCCAGAGCAACACCTATTATCTGAAAACCTTTGGTCATAACACAATAGATGTTGTGCCTAAAATTGATTACTACCGAAACACTGGTAGCCTCAGTGGAGTCAAAATGAACAGACCGAGTCTGATGGACATTCATGAGCAGTTAGCAAAGGTATGAAGGAAAATACTCTGTTTTGCTCCTTTCCCGCAGTACTGGTAATGCGGGGGAGCTTTTTTCTGCCTGAGGGTTCAATTCAATTTCAGAGCAGCTCTAATGGAGGAAGCAGTATAGGGCTAAAGGAGATGAGTCCAACATACCAGAAGAGAAAAAAAAAAAACAGTGTATTTTAGCTCAAAGCCCTTCCTGCAAATAATTCTTAGGAGGGTTTTAGCCTTTTGGAATGGGGGAAAGCTCCAAACAATCAGAAGCTGGAGGGAGGGTCAGGATCAGTAGAAGTGAATGTTGCCATCTAGGGAACAGCTAGTAGCATCTACTGTTAGTCCTGCCTTGAGTAGACCCTTTGGCAAGAACAGGACTCAAGTTCAATAAGACTACTGAATTCTCATTAATTGTAATAAGCCTGCTCTGCATAGCACACATTACCTATACAGTCTCAAAGCATCTTAATTCAGAAGGAATTGAGGCTGCTCAAGTTTCAGGCATATAGCCTGATCCTATTCATGTTTACTTCAAAGTAAGCCTAATTACATGCTGTGGGCCTTCAGTGCCCAGCTTTCTTTGGATTGGGTTACTAAACAAAAACTTAGGGTAAAAGCAGCCAACAATTTATGTAATGAAGGAAGAATTCTCTCTTTCTCTTTTTTTAAAACCAAATGCAAAAAAGCCCTTTTTTCACTGAGGTGAGAATTCTGTGCCTGGGCTGTACCACTTCACGTGGAAACTCACTAAAAGAATGGTCTCCCATAAAAAAACCACTTGCATAGAAAATGATCATAGCAAGAGAGAAGCTACAGTAGAATCTTAAAATCTGATTTATAGAGATTGCTCCACAGAGAGAGTAGTCATTTATCCATGACCGATAAAAGAAGATATGCATCACCAAAAAGGAGGGCAAGAAGATGACACCAAAAGGAGACAGATGAGGATTTATATGCAGATGTATGAATCAAAACTTTACTTTAAATGCAGTACATCTCACCACCATGGGAAAGCTTGCAGCCAGGTGTCCTGCATGTGTACCTGCTCAATCAGTTCTCCAGATGCCAAGTTTGGAGAGGTAACTTAAAAGCCTAGAAATTGAGCAAGTCAGAAGGGCTACCCGGGCCATCTAGTCTGACCCCTGGACTCAGCTGGCTCCATTCATGGCATGCCTACCATGTGCATGTCCAGCCTATCCTTGAACACCTGCACCGATGGGGCCTCAACGACCTCTCGTGGAAGCCCATTCCACACCCTCGGGGTCCTGACTGTCAGGAAGTGCTTCCTGGCATCCAAACGGAACCTTGGCTCCCTGAGCTTTGCTCCGTTGGAGCGCGTCCTGCCTTCCTCTGCAGGGGAGAACAGGTCTCCACCCATCTCCATGTGACATCCCCTCACATACCTGTATGTCGCCAACATATCCCCTCTGAGTCTCCTCCAGGCTGAAGAGACCCAGTTCCCTCAGTGATCTTCACTCTCCTACATAACAGTCTTTGGCTGTAACTTTAAACTGGACTTGCACCAAATAGAGGATGCCACCAAACAGAAAATTACCTTGGTAGTTCTTGAAATAGAGAGGTATCCTCTCGAAAGAAGGCCACATGGCCAGTATATCTACGGACCTGCTAATATGGGAAGAGTTCCGGAATAGGAACTCTTTACACCAATGCAAAGAGCACAGATAAATGGATAAATCCCCAGAAACTCTACCCAAGCTGGTATGCTGCGTTCTTCTAGTCCCTAACACCATGCAGGAGAAGTGGAAAATCTATCATCCTCCTGATGTTGTTGGCCTACAGCTCCCATCCTCCCTGGCCATTGGCCATGCTGGCTGGGGATGATGAAAGTTGGAGCCCAACAGCATCTAGAGACCCACAGTATTCACCCAGCCCTAGCCTAAAGAAATGGGGCAAAAATAACAGAGGAAAATTCTTATAACCTCTTTCCATACCTTTGCAGAAATGTGTTGTAAAGTATGTGAAAGGCATTCTGCAAGTGTCTATATTCCTGCAGAATCCCAGCCCTGCGTTTTTAACAGAAAAGTTTTAAAAAAATCATTTCATTGTTTAGAACATTACAGTGACTTCTGGTTCAGCTGATAAATTCACCAAGGCAGATGGCAATGCAGGAGACGAATCTGAATCTGTCAAGGAAGAAGAAACCAAAACAGGTTTTGTGAAATTTGGATGGGTGAAGGGCGTCTTGGTAAGCAAAATACATCTTGCTAAATACATCTCGTATTCATATCCTTACAATCAATTCTGCTCCCTTGGTTTAAAAGTGCAAAATTTTAACACAGTGAATGTCACCACATCTTAAAAGAAAATCATGCTGCCCCTTGTGCAGGAGCTGGGTAGTTTGAACTAACACTTGTATAATCTTCTTTCATTTAATTTTTAAACAGAACATGTAGGCATTTGAAATGCCCATTTTAGCAAGGTAATTATAATAATGACTTCAGTGTTATCTCTGGATTATGATTTTACATAATTTTGGCCACTTTTATTTTATACTGCCGTAGCCTCTTGACTTTATGATACCTTTTATCCAACCTGATTGCAGTCTTTAAATTCATTTATGCATTTAAGACTGATAACTGCTTGCATCTGGCAGTGACGTGGTGACAATTTTCTTTCTTTAATGTTTAGGTGAGATGCATGCTTAATATCTGGGGTGTGATGCTGTTCATTCGTCTTTCCTGGATTGTAGGTCAAGCAGGAATTGGTATGCATTTTCTTAATATATTTCCTGAATGGAGAAACAAGGGAAACTTTCCTGAAACACAATTAATCTTAAACTGAAGTGTGAATTAGCACATCATGGTTTCTAGAGTTGTTTTTGTTCTTGCTATATTCAGAGGCAATGGTAACCCAACCGATAATGGAATTTTCCTTGCCTTCAAAAATTTACCACTTAGCTTTACCAAAAACCAACACAGACATGTATGGGCTTCATTGTCGTCAGATTCAGAGGGATTTTAGTGCCCCAAGCCATTCCAGATACTAGCCACTGGGCAAACTGTATAGATAATGGGTAAACAAAACACCCAGAAACCAATTCCTGAGTTGCTTTGTATTTCAGAAAATTGCTAAGGCTTTTTTATGAAATGCTGATATTTTTAATGGAAGAGATGTGAGGATACTTAGAATGATTATTTTATCTCACTTTGCAGACCAAAAAACAGCCCCCTCCAAAGTGATTCTTGGCCATCAAAAATACAATACATTACTGGTGAAAAACACCGCAGATAAATTAAAATTATGCACCTTATAATGAGACATAGTTTTAACCACACATTTTTGGTCTCTTTAAGAGCTTGGGATGTAATCCGTTGGTTCTCAGAAACAACAGGTGGAAGTGGCCAACCTATTTCAAGCCTATACCATTTCAAACTGCAGGTCAGAGATCATATAGCTGAAAGACTATATGTGCAGAAGGACTATGGAGCAGTGTTTCATTATATCATGCATTCTCTCTCACACACACATGGTACAGTCCAGAAAGAGCTCTACCTAGTTATCTGTGCTTTGTGAAAAATAGGTTACATCCATGGAACAACTTTGAAGCTCATCAGGGTTTGCTCAGAAGATGGCAATTTAAAAGGTGTCATTTTGAACCCGCTAGTCAACACTGTCGCTTCATAGCAGCATATTTTCATTGCAAAGGAAGCCCACAAGCCACTTTAAACATAATTCCCATTGCATGGAAAAGCAGTATGTAAATTAAAGTCTACTCCAAGTTGAAACTATGCCCATCTAACAACAAACAATTAAAAGGTTCTAGGCTCATGTCCATCCCCTACAAAGCACCTGAGAGCATGTACCAAAGATGCAGATCTATTTTAGCCAGTTTAAGCAAGTGTCATGCAGGACTGAGGGCCAAGATAGACGCAAAGCTAAATGCATGCATTTTGATGTGCTTCATTTTCACTTGAAAATAAAGCTGGAAGCAGGAGTGACTCATCAGGACTGGGACAATTGCATATGAAGAAGCAAGTTTATGCCTTTCCCCCAACACAGCGCTCCCAGGAAAGGCCATTCCGCCACAGCTGCAGCTCACCCCGGGGAGAAGCTGCTCTTGGCATCCGTGTGGTTCAAGGCCTTCTTCACTGAACTCAAAGCACTCTTTGAAGTGTATTTGCGGAAAGTGCAATGGAACATTTCGACTGAGCTCCTGATGCTGATTCACTACCCGAAGAAGATGCGATGGTGGCGATGGTGATGAAGATGATGGATGTTAGTGGAGCCTGCTTCTTCATGCAGTGGTGCAACGCAGGATCACACTATGCCATTTTTGCATGACTAATTGCTACAAGAAGACTTGCTGAAAGGCAAAGGTGAAGTACTGCAAGGCTGTCCATTTTTACAGGATGGAACAGAAAATCTGGGAGTTCAGAACCACAGCCAACGTGTGACAGTGTCTGCCTTTTAGACAGGCTATGCAGGCAGATGGTACGTACTCTGGGTTAAAAAGATCTGACTTCAGAGCGAGAAATTAAAAGGCATGGTGGACACGGCCCAGCCAACTGCAGCAGCACACCTGTGCCTGGTTCCCCCCAGGATGAAGGCTTATACAGGTACCAGAATTCACACTAGCCGGTGAGCTCAAGGTAGAAAGCATTGCCTGGATGAGGCTCTACACATTTCTGTGCCCAAGAACGTCCTCAAATTATGTGCACATATGGACTATGCATTTTCTGAACATGAACTTCAGCCACCAGTGTCATGATTATGGCTAATGATTGTACAAATGGGACCTGACATTCCAAGAGGAGGTCAGTGCATCAGCTCCCTGCACTCTCACTTGAATGCCAGGCCAGATCAGAGATGCAAGTAAAGGGTCAAAGGAAACCAGTCAAACGAATCATGGGTGTTTTTCACTGCCAGCCTGCAGTTCAATCCAGATGTGGACTGATATGCACAGGGATCGGGCGACCTATTACTATTTAGGATAACACATCGCTCCCCAGTCTCAGCGGAGATGATGTACAAGATGATAGATGGAGAAGGAGGCCCATATGTGGAGATCCCTTAAATTCAAAGCTTCCCATTCTTGATGCATAGAATGAAGATCAAGGCACAAGCTCAGTCTCATTGCCTGAAGTCCTCATTCTAGCCCAGAGCATCCCTTATTCAGAATGAACCTAAGAACATGAGAAGAGCCCCTCCTGGATCACTCCAAAGGCTTGTCTGGTCCAACATTCTGTTTGCACAGCAGCCAAGCTATCCAGGCGAAGCTTCAAGAGCCTTTTGTTGAAATATGGATTTTACGGATTTGTCTCTAAATTCTAAACTCTTTGGAAATGTCCTGTGTGATCAGAAGCTGTAGGTGTTATTATTGTCCTTTTGCTACAGAGAAGAAAGGAAACCCAGGAAACTTGCTGAAATAAACAGAGCAAAGTTTAGAAGTTTTGCCCGTCATCTACACAGCCTTACACGTTTGCACCTGGCACTGAGCCAGACAAAAGGGTGCTTGCTGATTTTATGATGCATACCAAATGAGGCCTTGCAGCTGGAAACTCATATAAGTATATGCCTTGCCATGAAAACTCTGCATCTTAACATTACCAAGACTTTGCTCTGGGGTTTCATGCAAAATTAGTTTCTTTTTTTAAGGGCAGTTGAGTAACTTATTGCCATCATCAAGAAGCATTACTTTGTTCTGAGGTATGAAAATAGCCATGGGCAAGAGTCATTCATTTTAATGTTATTTAATGCCCTTACAACTGGGGTTTTAATTTAAACTTTAATCAGAGCTCGGCATTACTTTGCAAGAAGAGATGCTACAATGGCTCTGGTTTTTCACATTTAATTCTAAACTTATAGTTTTGTTACTAATCAAACTTCAAATGATTCCCACCCCTACTTATTCTCCTTTCATGGTGGAGCAGCAAAATTGTCGGTGGTGTTTCCCTTTCCTTCCTCAAAGACTCCCAGATATCTCTGCACACTCTCCAGGTAGAACATCGGAATGTGGCGCTCCCATGAAGAATCCAGTACATGTAGGCCAAACCACCTGGTCAGTTCCCAGGTTGTATGGACGTGTGGCAGTGGAGCAGGTGTTAAGACCATGCGGGCTTCTGTGGATCAGCTTTTAGGTCATCTCATCCTATTCAAACATGATACTTGCATGTGGCTGTCCCACAGGCCCCGCATGTGCCTAATCCAAATACGGTGCACATAATCACTGCATTTTACATTGCTCGATTCTTAAAATGATCTGTCCTTTGGAAACAGGAATGTCCACTATGGAAATATTGCAACTATTCTAGCATGATTAAGCATTATCCTGATGCTATCAATAAACAATGGGCACTTGTACTGTTCCATTTAATTGATTCACATCCCCCACGTTTTTGCACATCCTGTGAAAATCTAAATGACACCTAGAGAAAGCCTGCGGTTACATCTGGGACCCTAGTGCCACATGAGTAAAATACATATATAAAATATGTATGCCCAAAGATCTCAACAAACCTCAAAATGCAAGAGATTTAGATGTTTTCATTTGATTAGGAAGCGTGTATCAATTATTTCCATTTGCTTTAATATGAATATTAATACATGTATTTATAGATCACCTGTAATTGCCAAGGCCTTCCTAGGCGGCTAGGCCTTCCTATTAAGAAATATTTTCAGGCCAACTTCTAGGGTACCAGAAGGACATGAATACATGTCGGACTTTGAGCACCTGTTGGAACGCATTGCCAGGTGAGACTAGATACCCTAACCCCAGCCCTCCCCAGAAGATATGGGTTATGATTTTCCGAGCAAGAACACCGGCTGCACAATCATTATGTCAAATGGCTGTTCAAAGGGGACCTGGACACCCAGCCCCAAGTACTGCACGACAGTCTAACCACTACATTACTCTGGCTGTCTGAGCAAAAGACCACTCCACCGGCATCAGTCTAAACACTGGTGAGGGTATACGTTCCCACCACCCCAAGATTAGTGAAGAAGAAGAAATGCGAAAGACAAGCCATGGACAGATCCAGGTGCAAACCTTTGTCTGCTGCTGCTGCTGCTGCTCCATTCTCTTTCGGTCTAATTTTTTAACAACAGTAACTATGTAGAACGCTAAGGAAACTTGATCCGTACGCCCAAATGCTTTCAAAGGACTATAGACAGCAGAGCAAGACATGGCAAGGATTCATGTATCAGTAGCGATAAAGAGGTTTGCCAATGAAATACAGCCTTGATTCTAGTTGGGAGAATTATAGATCACAAGTTACATTGTACATCTTTTCATTGCTGACAGGTCTTGGAGTTATCATAATCCTCCTTGCCACCATGGTCACCTCCATTACTGGCTTATCAACTTCTGCAATAGCAACTAATGGTTTTGTCCGTGGAGGTAAAAAAAATTTAAGGTGTTTCCTTCCCCAGTTCTCACAATTTTTAAAAATGGTTTGCCATGTATTGCCTTACTAACAAGTCAAGCTCTCCTCACCCTAAAATAATATCACAATGGACAATAGAACCAACGCAACCAGAAGGTGAGTCATGCAATCAACAGTATCAATAATCCATAACTAATTGATTTATTATCTTATGAATCACAAAGTCCAGTTCAGTTCATGAAGGCCACAGACGGAGGAATGAGACCAACTTTCGTACTTTCGTTTTTCCTTAATTTTTTTTTTTAACTGAGAACATTGCAGATTGTGTTTCCTGACTGGAAGAACTGGACATGACAACCCTCAACTCTCTTTTTAAATCCTGAATGAAGATCATTAGATGTATCAGTCTGTTTCTCAGCCTTTTTCTTTCTCGCTACACAAAATGTCCTGAAGATCCTGGTCAATTCCTTTTGAGGAGCATTCATTCTGTTCAGTGTCTTACAGGTATTCTTAATGTTTGATGACTTGGAGTGCATTCCAGGTATTTACAGATCTTTCCTCCTCATTAATGATGCTGGCTTCCTGTTAAAGGCTTTTGGCACAAATGATCTGACCAAGGTATTTGGATCAAACATCTGTTTTGGGATTTTTTCAGGTCTTGGAGTCGTAGTTATTTGCCTCAGTGTGGTAGTTACAACTTTAACAGGTATTTCCATGTCTGCCATATGCACAAATGGAGTGGTGAGAGGAGGTGAGTCAATTTCATGTTTGAATGGGGAATACGCCTGTCTCTGAAGAAGTGATAAGAATTGTGTTGAATCAAGAGAGCTAACTATACCTGTGCAAAAGTGCAATGTAGCAAGAACTGTTTCAAGTCTTGATGGGAACCAATTTGGATCGGAGGAGGCTGCCGCAATGTTAGAAGCAGCCAGGATCCGATGTTAATTGGATATTTTTGTCTAGATTAAAAGATTAATGAGTGCTGACATGTTCTAGATGAAGCAGCTGAGTGAACATTTTTACTGTACCTGCTTAAGCTAGTAGTTAAGGTGTTTTGCATTACAGAAGATACATTTTGATTAAATACCAGAACAATCTGCACAACTCTGTAGAACCAGTTTGAGGAATTGTAGAATTTTTCTCTTTGAAATTTCCAGGAAGGTGCTCACATAGTTAAATAGTCCTTAGCTATTTATACTGTTGGTATCTTTCACCAATGCCTTTGCCAGCATATCATAGTACAGGTTGGATTGCATAGTCTGACATTGGGAGATAGTTAAGCTCTGCAGACTAGGGGCAAAGGTTTTACTCGACTAAAAAAAACCCCAATGATTTGGTGACTCCATGAAGAATATAGAGCGCTCCTAGTGAAAACTATTCACATATCAAAATTTTGGGGTCCCATTAAAGAAGACAAATGATGAGATCTTTTGTTTCCTCATATTTCAGGCCACCTATACCTCCCCCACCCTTGGGAGCATTCCTGCTTCTAGCTAAATAACTGGTTTTATCATTAGCATATCAGACAAGAACGTTTTCCCTAGAGAATTGCCTGTGGGAGGTACGTTGCGTGGAGCAGCAATAATTCTAGGGATGGCAATGAAGCAGCTTGTATGCCAAAAGAAGGCACCCTCCATTCACAGAGAAATGGGCGCAGTGCAGAGTTGCCTTCTCCTTGGATCCTGCGCTGTAGTACCTGGAGAAAGCAACGTGCCCAGGGTTCCGCTGCTCCTACGCTAAAAGTCGTCCTTTACTTGCTGACAGGTGGAGCTTATTACCTCATCTCCAGGAGTTTGGGGCCTGAGTTTGGAGGATCCATTGGGCTCATTTTTGCATTTGCCAATGCCGTGGCCGTCGCCATGTACGTGGTCGGCTTTGCCGAAACAGTTGTGGAGCTCCTCAAGGTAAGCACGATGGTTTGCATGTGGCTAAGCCTAGGAACTTTGGTTAATAACGTTTTATATGTAATAATTACCGGTCTAATAAGTGCATTAAGTGGCAACCTTATTCATGAATTAGAACTCTCTAAATGTACTATAAATTCTAATTTATAAGCTTTCCCTTCACTACCACCAGGTCGAGGAAATGTTTCTTACAGAACTGTAAGAGTTTCAAAATTACTAAAGGGAATTAGGGTTCTAATTAGCCAGCCAATAACCTTGACAACTGAGGCCCAACCGGCATAAGTAATGTGAAACTCAGGGCTCATTACCCATGGAATGTGAAGAATGCCTCTTTAGCAATTCCCTTCTATTTTATGTGGCTGCCTAAGCTATCTTACATAAACTATATCTTTAATAATTCATCTCTCTCTCTCTTTCTCTCTCTCTTTTCCAGAACAGTAATGCAATAATGGTGGATCCAAGCAACGACATCAGGATAATAGGAGCGATAACCGTAGTCCTTCTTTTAGGCATTTCTGTGGCTGGTATGGAATGGGAAGCAAAGGTAAAACATTTTAAATGTTTAGGTTTCTGAGAAGATGAGTTCACAAGAGGATGTTGTCAAAGCCAAGGGAGTTTGTTGCACGTAATTATGCTTAGATCTGAGAGTACATTCACACCTAATTTTTATTCAGGCATGCCTATGAAAGGCTCGTGTGTCCCGTTCAGTACTAGGTCTCATGCGTCTTATATATATGTCTTGAATATTTTTAAAATGCAGGGGTCTCATGCAGATAGAACCCTGCCAGGTAAGTGAAGCATGGTGGACGATGCACACAGGGAGGCTGGTTTCCACAACATGTTGGACCCCTTGTGAATTTTAGCCATGTGTGGTTGTTAAAATGCACCCGTGCCTGATAGACGAGCGAGTGCAGCAGGGGTGTTGTGGCTCTTCCTTCTCCCTCTCCAGGCCTCCTGCGGTATCCCAGGGGATGTTGCTGGAGAACTAAGCTGTCCCTGAACCATGGCGAGCTATTTAGCAGCAGATTCAGCTTGACATTAAAAAAAAAAAAAAATTCTGTGTGATCTGCACTGGGGAAGTAATGAGAGCTCAGGGCTACAGGAGCTCACAGATTCTGCCAGATACACTCCATACATTTCACCTTTTCAAAAAATCTGAAACAAATCATTAGCATTGGGCTACACAGGTACAATTTGGCACAGATACCCATGTGCCAAACTATTTCTAACATTTTTTTTTTTTAAGTTGGGGATGTGAAAGGAACCCTTTGGAGCAGAATCCTGGGGGGCAAGGAGTTCTGTTCTTCTGACCTGACTACAAATGCTATTTTGATGTCTTTAGACAAGAAAATAAGCCACAGTGGGTGTATTAAACCACACTACAAGCCATGGCTCATTGGCCATCATAAGGCCATTATGAAACACCCCATGGGAAGGATGCTGGGTTCAGACAGCGCACTTAAAACACCATGGCTTAACGTACTCTGCAAACCCAGAAAAATGCACACACGTGTGCCTTTGGTACTCTGGGACACACACAGTTCAAAAAGAAATGGGAGAATATGGATTCCAGCTCTTTGCTAACTTGTACTCATGGTGTGATCTTGCAGAAATTGTTATTTTCCCATTGCCCACCAGCCCTGAAATGCAATCATATTGTTTTATCAATGCCACATTCCTAAGAAAGTTACTCAAGCTTAGGGCCTTTTAAAATGAATGAAGCTTCAATGGGACGAATGTGTTCTAGGTTAAGGCCCATAACTTTTCAGAGGACTACCGATACCACGCCGCGCTGGAACGTCAAAGCTTCCAAGTGGCTTATAAACAGAAACTAAGAATAAATACTGCTCCAAAAATGTCTTCTCCCTCTGTCCCCTACAGACCCAGGTTGTTCTCCTCTTTATCCTTCTTGTTGCTATCATAAATTTCTTCATCGGGACCGTCATTCCAAGCAACAATGAAAAGGAGGCAAAAGGCTTTTTCAACTATCAAGGCAAGTGTTTCCTATGCCGCATCTTACAGAAAATCAGGACTGTTTTAGTAGACACTGGCGGCACAAAACAGAGTTGGTGGGGAACCAAGTTCAGGCAGGCAGCGATTGGAGGACCCCGCCCAGCTCCCTGTGGGTCAGATTATGTGGGGGGTATGGCCAAGCCCCTGGGGTTGCCGAGGGGTGGTGGAGGGGACACCCCTCCCGACATGAGATGGTCCCCACTGATGAGCAGCTGCAAGGCTTGCTTGCCCCGTGTCTCCCTTCTTTCAGTGGCAGGACCAGCCCTGTCCTTGGGCGGAGTGAGGTGACTGCCTCCAGAAGCAGGTGCTGGGCGAGCCCACCTGCCTGCCCTGCATGTGCGAAGTTGGCCAGATGCCCTCATGTGTGAAGAGGATGCTGCTCTATCAGAAGAAAGATCCAACTGGCAGTCCAGTTGGCTTCTGGACATGGAATGGGATGAGGAGCCCTCCTGTTCTTTGTCCCAGGCATTGAAATACCTTGGCCTGACCCTGCCCATGGCATGAAGACGTGGGGTAAGGGAAGACAAGCCAGGCCGGTGCTTCCCTCAGACATTGTATGTTGTTCCAGTTGGGGCAGTGATTGATATGCAAGGGAAGGGGATCTGGCCAAGTTGCACTCCCCTGGGAATTCACCGGGCAAGTGCACTTAGCACCCCCCTCCCCAAGGACACCGGAGGGAATCCTTGTTGCCTCCTCTGGTCCGCACGCAGGGTGAATGCAGCGGCGTTCACCTCAAAGCGGTGGGCCACGTCCAGGCTGCCATCTTGCCTGCCCGCTCCTGGCCAGTGCAGAAACATGCGGGCTTACTTGAAAGTCGAGCAGATAAGTGGTTGTTGTAGCTCTTTATCGGTTTTAGCGTTGACCGATCTTATACCCAGCCTGGGTCTGCTTGTGTGAGTGCCTACAGCTAGCAATTTTGGGCTAGCATGACAGCCCTTGGGTTTAACTCGGAAAAAAACTTGGCACGATGTAGACTTAATGGGACCGTGGGAATTCAGTTAGTCACAGTGTTAGCACAGTCCATGGCTTCCAATGGGGCTTCGACCACTAAGTTTCACATCCGGACTCAGACCCACAGTGTGTCTCAAAGTGATAAAGTCAGAGAGTCAGGCTGCCAGCCACCATCCAAAGGAAGAAACTGCAGGAGAAGTGGCCAAGGGAGCAGAAGTTGGAATGGGCCGGGTGATATTCTCTGGCCATTTTACAAGTTTCTGCCAGACTTACTTTGTCCTCTGAGCAACTGAAGGTGTGTTACACCTCTCTTCAACTTCCTGCTCCATGTCTGTCCCTCATCCTGACCCCAGCACTGCATGACCCATGACCCACTGTCCAGAGGTCTTCTCCCGCTCCTTCCAAACAGATTAGAGCAAAAAGACTTGCAAACTAGTCTTGACTATGCTAAAGCTAGGCAGCTCGGTTAGCTTGCAACGCAAAAGAAGAACATTGCAGAAGTCAACACCAGAGCACAAGCCAAGTTAGAATGCTGCCCATTAGGGAAAGGTGGCTTAATGATACAAAGCGGATTCCAATCTGCTTTGGATTGGATTCCAATCTCCATTTGGATTCCTCTCCTCTCTTCCGGACTGCAAAGAGATGGTGGATCATGCTCCTTATGAATCAGTCACCTGGAATGTCTCACGTTTCTCAGTTGGCCCATCCGCTTAACCTGACACCTGGCCAACAATGTTAACTCTGCCCTCACCTAACTCAGTTTGCTCCCCAGAATTTCTCGCTAAACCTGAATTGTCTAATTCTCTAATTCACTGGGTCCTCTGGCCTTGACATTTCAGTTTCAGATTCTAATCCCATCTCTTCTTCAGCTTCTGAATCAGATTCCAAGTCGAGAACCTTTGAAGGCTGTAGGGACCCTCAGTCCCGTTCCATGTACTTCACATGCAGCTTCCCTGATCACTGCATGGAAAGTTTTCAAACCCTGTGCAATCAGGAGAACAATATGGCAAGCTACTTTAGATACTGGAGTAACCATTCTTGGCCATGCTTCTCTAGAGGTGTCTCCAGTATGGAGACACAGAGGGCTCTCTGAAATGACAGACAGACAGACAGACAGACAGGTGCATGATCATATACTAATCACTATTGCTAAAATCTCTTGAAACATCACATACATTTTTCTCCTTCCCTTTGCTTTTGCAGCTTCAATATTTGCAGAAAACTTTGGACCAGATTTCAGAGGCGGAGAAGGGTTTTTCTCTGTGTTTGCTATTTTTTTCCCTGCAGCTACTGGCATTCTTGCTGGAGCCAATATCTCTGGAGACCTGGAGGTATGTAGACTTCAAACTGCAGAAGGCAAACTACTGTGCCACAACATTCTGAGAATCCAAAGCCACCATTCAAGTTGTTTAGTCACACAGTGAATAAAATATACAACATTCTTACTGAATACTGAAATATCCAACATTGAAAAAAGGGAACTAGAGACAAAGGTTCATAATGGACAGGAAAATGGTCATGTGAATGCTGGTCCTTAAATCTCTTTGCGAAAGCCATTCTGTATGTGTGCGCTTGTACAAGAATTTGAGCAGTGCTGTAATAGATATTCTGGTCTACAACAATTCCCGTGCTTCTGTTTGCACGCGTTCTTGCAAAATTGGAGAACACTTTTGGATTTAGTTGCATGCAATCGTAGGGTAGGGGAATCCTGTGATTTTTTAGAAGTTGGAAGACTCCAACAGCATTAGTTGCAGTCAGCATGCTCAGTGGTCAGGGATGATGAGATTTGTGGTCCAACATCTGGAGAGCCACAGATGTTGCACAGTGCTCTGTTGCAAGGGCTATACCATCTCTCTCTGGACAGAAGACCCTTTTAGCATGTTGACCTGCACCCCTTCATCCAGCCCATCACTTTGGTTGGCTAAATATGCCACTTCCCTTGTCTGATAGAAAAGCACCAGCTGCGCAGGCTCAGCTAAATGAATCTTCTAGAAACAGACCACAAAACTTAAAAGGCCACTTCAGCAGCTCTAGTAGCAGAATTTTAATAGCTGCATTATCAGGCCCTGTAGTTAGAAATGAGCTATGTCATTCCTCTTACCACCTTTTGCTAATCCATGAAAACCACATGTGAGAGTACAAAAAAATTACAATAAGAGCAGTAGAAGAAGATGCAGAGCACGTCTGCACCCTGAAATGAATTTAATTAGATGCCACGGAAGACTCCATCCCGCAGAGTGTGGTTACAAAGAGGCTAGGGAGGTCTTTTTCTCCCTTTTTAAAATAATACTTGAAGCTGATGGGTGGGAGAGTCAGGACAGAAAAAAGGAAAGACTTCTTAGCACATAGTTCAACTGTGGAATTCTTCAGCACCTTGAGGAAGCCATCAAACTGGGTGGATTTAAGACAAGCTGGAGAAACTCTTGCAGAAGACAAGGCCATCAAAGGCTGCTGCTCCTGCTGACACCATCAGTGCCAGACATACTCTCCCACTGTCTGGTTGCTCCCACTGTCCAGCCTCGCACGTCAGGGGTGCATCTTTAGATGACCTGTACATTGGATGAACCCCAGGGACGCCCCTTCTCCACAATGCCCGGTTCTAAAGAAAGACCCCCTGAACCAGAAATCTGGGCATGGATGCCTGTTCGAAGAGCTGCACCAGCTGCTTTTCCAGCCAACGGGGCTTTTCAAGGAGCTCGGCAGCCTGCTGCTCCAGGATGATTTTCCGAGCAACTGGTGGTCCCGGGAGGGGGCAGGTGGCAGGAGAAGCAAGGAAGAGAGCACAGCGGGCAGAGAACTGCAATTTGCCGCTCCTCCTGCCACGCCGCCTGAGACAAGTGCTTTGCCTTGCTTCGTGGGAGGGCTGGCCCTCGTCCATATGCTAGCTCCAGGATCAGAAGCAGTTGCTGGAGAACGGGGCAGGAAGGTGCTGTCCGGCCTGTGGGTTTCCCACGGGCTGGCCATGGTGCAAAGAGAGCGCTAGGCTGGATGGACCCTGGGCCCACACCAGCTGGTGTTCTCATCTATAACGTTCATTTTCACAAGACGCCCATCTCCTTAGAGGTCCTTAAAAGGGATCGGACAAATACGTGGAGGAGAAGTTTACCAGGGGCTACTAGGCACCGTGCCTGTATGCTGCCTCCAGTACCAGTATGGATATGGACACCAGTTCCTGGGGAACATGGGTGGGGGACTGCTCTCGCCATGTGTTGCTTGCCAGTTTCCCGGAGGCAGCTGGGGGGAACCGAATCCGGGCCGTTCGGTCTGACTCAGCACAGCTCTGCTTACGCTCTTGCATTTCGCTTGGCCATGCCCTTCCTATGACAAGGTTCTGCATGTCAAGCCAGCCCAGAGCTGTTTGTTTGGCAGTGTTCATCCCCCAGTGCTCGTCATGCATCTTATCTCCTGCGTGTTTGCTATGCGAGTGTGGGATTCTATGAGACAAATCTCTCCTTTTTTGTCCTCGTTAGTTTAAAATATGGCTTTGTCTTTGTATCTTGTGCAATCGAGCCTTTGGGGAATGGCATTTCCAAGCCTTTGCATAAAATGAGGAAAGACGTAAACTTACAGTAACGTGTTGACATGACTCAAAAAGCTGCAGGCCGTATTCGCAAATACAGCGTTCGCGAGCTCTGCAGTTAAGTCATGTGGAACAAAATTCTGGGTGGTATTCTAAAATGTTGTTTTGAAACCATTAGAACACTGGACTTTCCTATAAAGTACAGTGCCAGCTTTCCGTCAGTATTTTAGATAATCAAAATGCACAGTACCCCTTCAACTGCAGAACAAACGAGTTAGTGGAGTACATGTATTTAAATAGTCGGCATTGATCGTAGTTTCCATAAAATTCACTCCTGGTTGCTGTGATTTGTGAATGCAGATGCAAACCATGGTTTGTTAACCACGAACAACCCAGAAAGGGAATCATGGCTTGTTGTTAGGTTGTGAGCATTGGGTTTTTTAGGCCATGACTTGTTCTGTGGAAACCCAGAACCATCAGTGCAAAAGAAAAAGAAAAAAGAAAGTGCCAGTGCAGCCAAAAAAGCAGTCACTCTACACATACATACTATAATGTTGCAAAGGCATTCTGGGTACAGGGAGGAAGCAGGTGCAAGTAGTCATTTAAAACAAAAACAAAAATCTTCCTAGGCACCAGAATGTCTAAATAATTTCAAAAAATTGGCAAGTAACCATGAGGACTAGAAACTTTTTTTTACATTGTATACCAGATCTGTATATAAATGAAAAAATGCAGATGGAGGATCAACAACCTACCTAAATGGAAATCACACATATTTCTTCATGCAAGAATTCACTGCAGTATTTTTATTTTACTATTCCAGGATCCACAAGAAGCTATACCCAAAGGAACTATGTTGGCGATTCTGATCACAACTATTGTTTACGTGGGCGTAGCGATCTGTGCAGGTGAGTGGGGAGAAAATCTCCGCATTCCAGACTAGAGTCCTAATTAATATAGAGAAGCATGTTTTAAATAAGATCAAATCATGGATTCGCTGCAGAGTAAAAACACAGAGCAGAAACCACAATCCCTGATTAGCATTACACAGATATTAGTCAGCTGTCAATTCATGAACTGGGAAAGGGATTTCTGTCCCATGAAAAGACAAACAAATTCACAATCACTGGATGACATGCCTAACTTCCAACTGTGCTTGGCATATCGAAAACTACTAGGGTCATTAGCAGAACGGGGGTGGGGGGGTGCCCTTCAGCTGCAAACCCTCCTTCGTATGATTCCAAGTCTTCTTGGACCTCTGGTGACCCTATGACGGAAAGCCCCTTCCAGGCTCACCCCATGCAGCTCTTCCAAGTTCAAGGCTGGGGCTTCCCTGATGGATCCAATCCACCTCTTGCTTGGCCTTCCCTGCCATCTTCCGCCTTCGACTTGTCCTTCCCCTCCACCACTGCCTGAGAGATTAGCAACACGTGTTGTGCAAGCTTAGGTCCTAGCCAGTTGAAACCGGAGAGAATTTCCGCAGGCTAAGATCAAGCAGCTGTTTCCAAGGTTAGGCAAGACTGTGGGCCGCTTTGCCCAAGAGGTGGAGCCAAAGGCGAAGGCCTGGAGCCAAAATCCAACATCTTTTACAACGGGGATGGAGGGACTGGGCAAAATCCTGGGCTCACCAAACAACCTGCAGTCCTTAGAAAAAGGCACAGCCACCGGAGTAATCCCAGGAGGGGCAGATTGGGGCACTGTGTGAGCCAGATCTGGACTGCAGGCCTGAGACTGGGCATCCCATAGTGAGCCAGCAGGGCAGTTGGGAGCACCCTATTGCTTGCTTCCGTGCCTGAGGACGGCTCTGAGGCCTGGCTGTACACGTCTCACTCAGCCGTGTCCCTGGTAGCTTGCCACTTACCCACTGCACGAAGCAGCTTTCTAGACTTGGATTTAAAAACCAGCAAAGTGTGCAACGTCCAGAACTTTCCAACACCCCGCAGTCTTCCATCAGTCCCCGTACCTCTCAGATATGGCAAACATTCCTTAAAGCCAAAGAAGTCCATGTCGTGTCCATGGGCCATGTTCAAAATTCGGAGTACTAATGCCTGAATGAATGGCGGCATTATTTGCAACGGAAAAGAGAAAAGAAAAGCTCACCAGCCCAAGATCAGGGACGGAAACACAGACAGAGCATGAGCAAGTGGGGGGAGGGATATTTTCTCGTTGTCACAAGTTAGCTGGAATGACAATCTGCTGTTGCTTCCACAGCTGCTTGTGTCGTACGCGATGCTACTGGAAATGTCAATGATACCGTTGTTTCTGGGATGAATTGCAACGGATCATCTGCTTGTGCCCTCGGCTATGATTTCTCCAGCTGTAAAACCCACACATGTGATTATGGGCTGATGAATAATTTCCAGGTTCAAAAGAGCTCTAATTATGCAATTTGTATAATCGTATATATGTTGTGCGACTGAGCAAACAACACACTATATATAATACAAACTAACACACATGCAGAAGCATGCGCTGGTGCGCAGTGGCTGGTGTTTCAGGATCTGTCCCACAAACCCCTTTCATTCAGAGATGATCTGAAAGAAGGGCAGCCCACTGTGCCTTTGACGGAGGGATCCACACACCCAGACAGTATTGACGGATCTCCTTACACAAAATATCAGGAAGCAAAACCATCAATAATGGAAAGGGAACAGAGCTTGGCAGAGGACTTGAAGCGTTGGCTGCAAGTTCACTCTCTGGCACTTCTGCTTAAAACAATCCCAGGTAACAGGACTGCAGAAGACGCCTGCCAGAGACCATGAAAAAGCTCTGCCCATCAAAGCAGATGGTCCTGGATTAGACAGACATCTGGCATAAGGCATCCTCATCTTCTTGCGTTCCAAGCTGGGCCATGTGGATATGTGCAGTCATGAACGGGGGCAAGGGGGGAAGATGCTTTGCCACAAATACGTGGACCTGGTTGAGCAGAACAAGGTGGGGCAATCCTGAAGTGCCTTTCCCTTTTATGGGCTCATCAGGACAGGCAGAAGCTGCTTTGCATGAGGTAGCATTCAAAAGAGCATCAGTTGCTACCTGCAGCCTAACGGGCGCAGTCTGCACCTCCATATGCTGCCGTGCGTAAATATGTCTGCTGTTTTAAAAAAATAAATTCCAATCCTAGGCATGTTTCCGTAGAGGTAAAATCACCTTGTCCAATGGGGTTTATCACAGGTGGTTCAGGAGAGCACAAAGATGGCATGCTGAAGACTGGAGGACCGAAAAGAGAAGGAAAAAGCACACGTTTCAATATTTGCGTGTGCGCATGTGTTGAAAGGACCCCACCTCCTAAGAATGCCTCTGTTTGCAAAACGAGCTGTATGTAAAGGGGACAAGGTGCGTTTGATTTCAGGGAAAGAAAAGAAAGCGGAGCCCTGACAAAACAGATCAAGGAGGGGCACCTGTGAGCAAGAGCCCGGCTCATCCAATGCAATCAGATGTAGCCGAGATGGAGGTCCCTGGACCTCCATCTCAGCAAGTGCCCGTGGACGACAGAGGGGAGGGGCCAGTGGCCTCCCTGAGACTCAGGGCTCCAGCTGGAGGATTTGGGGCTCGAAGCCCTAGCAGGTGTCCCACTAACACCACCTCCCACACAGGTGTTGCAATCGTAGGCAAGCGTAGACTTTATACAAGTAAGTGACTGGGAAGCATTGTGGTTGCAGGACTTTTTCTGGTCCAAACATGCATGGGATTGGACCCTTAATGTCTTACTTCAGAGGGGTATCAGACGGATGTGCTACAGATGTATAGTTGCTCTGATGTGTAACATGTAACAGACCAGAGCTTCTCCATTCACTTCAGTGGAGAGGGCTACAGCATATGTATGGAAGAATGCTCATTTGCTGCCTCATATGAAGGGACTGCAGCTGGCGCAGTGGTTTAAACCGCTGTGCTGCTGGGCTGGTTGATCGAAAGGTCGCCGGTTCGAATCTGCACAATGGGGTGAGTTCCCGTTGCTCCGTCCCAGCTCCTGCCAACCTTGCAGTTTGAAAGCATGCAAATGCAAATAGATGAAAAGGCACCACTTTGGTGGGCAGGTAACAGCGTTCCGTGCACCTCGGTGTGTAGTCATGCCGGCCACATGACCACGGAGACTGTCTGCGGACAAACGCTGGCTCCCTCGGCTAGAAAACGGAGATGAGCATCGCCCCCGAGAGTCAGGCATGACTGGACGTAACGTCAAGGGGAACCCTTTACCTTTACCTATGAAGCGAATGGGGGACGGAGGTGTCTGCAAGAGCATTCCACTTCTGCACTGGGACACAAGCCCAGCTTTGGATCAGAGCAATGGAAGCATCCTGCCAAAAGAGAGCTCTGCAGGTCCTTGCTTCCGGCACACCTGGGAAGCTGCTGCTAGAAATATTTTTATGACTGCCTCTCTGGTAGCTAAAGTTTGGATCCACCATAATAGCACTTGCAAAGTTCTTTTTGGAAGATATGGAGATCACCCACTTTTAAAAACGTAGCTAACTTGCTTCTCTTAACATCTTATTCTTAAAGCAATCCTATTCTGAGCAAGACCATTTGCAAAAGAAGCTATGTCTTTGGCTTCCATGGGAACAGGACAGGACTCAATTACAGAACACTCTTTCTGATTACCAAGGAAATTGTTTTCTTGACAAGGAAAGTAATTTGCTGTACTGAGTACAGACTCATTGAGAAGTCTCTAATGGGCGACTTTAAAGATAATAGAGGAGCAAGAAACCTCAGTGCAGAAATACAAGAGATTTGTGAGTTCTTTGTCCCCCTGTTTACCTGAGCCTCACGATCTCCTTTTGTATTCCTCCCACTCCCCACAGGTTATGAGCATGGTTTCGGGGTTCAGTCCCTTAATCACGGCTGGAATATTCTCTGCGACACTTTCGTCAGCTCTGGCTTCGCTTGTCAGCGCACCCAAGGTCTTCCAGGTACAAAGAAAGCCTCAACCTTGCCTGTTATGCATTGTTGTGCAATGATATCATTTCTTGTACGCCGTCTTTGCTGACCCCAGAAGGGTGTGGTTTCCAGAGCAGGAGATTCACAGACCCCCTTCCTAGTGCTAACTCACATTTCCCAGATCACATTGGGGCGGCATAAACCCACATGGCAGCCACTGCAGAATCAGAGAATAGTAGAGTTCGAAGGGGTCATGGAGGCCATCAGGTCCAACCCGCTGCTGTTGCAGGACACCAGGTTGCACCATCCCACTCAGGTGGACGTCCACTTTAGAGTTCGCCCCTTGGACAGATGTGCCACACGTTCAATGGCAGGCTAGCTTTAGGTTATAGTAAAGCATTCTGATAATAGTCATAAGGATCCTACCATGGTCCAGCCGAGAACCAATCTTTTGTTAACTAACAGTGTGGCTTTGCCACTTCTGCATGGATGCAGTCGACGCCACCCCATAAAGCAGGAGTGCAGGACCCCTGGCTTGTAGGCCTCATCCTGCCCACCAGCCTCCCTAGTCTGGCATTCCTCCAGGGAGCAGGGCTTGGCCTGTAGGAAATCCAGGAATAACGCCATGTCCAAAACAGGCAACGCACCGTTACCACCCTGGTGCAGCGTCACTGGCTCCCAAGGAAGGATGATGCAGAAGTGAAGGAATCTTCCTCCTCTGTGTCTCAAATCTCATCAGACCAGCTTGGAATGCAACTGCACAGAAGCAGCTGCACCGTCTCCAATCACGTACGCGCTGCCTGCAACGCCACCGGTCTTTTACTGTGCAGCAACTTTTTGGTTACGGGAAGAAAGCCCACTTTTCCGCTTTTCCGACAGGCTCTCTGCAAGGATAATATCTACCAAGCCCTCCACTTTTTTGCCAAGGGACATGGAAAGAACAACGAGCCACTTAGAGGATATATTCTTACCTTCTTCATCGCCATGGCCTTTATCTTGATCGGTAAGTATTTCACAAATAGCATTGCTCACTAGGGTTGTACAGATGTTGCTGAATCCTTCCATCTGGGTTTCACAGATTGTCAGGGGACTTCCATGTGCGTTGCTCGCTATATTTCCCAGAGCTGGCCCTTGGCCTGAAGATGCCAGTCAGGAATGTGTACAAAGTACCCTTCTGTTCCAGAAACATTTCTATGGACTTTCCATATAGCCACGTTAAACTGGGCACAGACATAGTTAGTGCTGGAAATGGTGATTGCTACATACAGTCTATGCTGTGGCACCTGAAGGTGTTGAGAAAGAGGAGTAAGAACCCATCACCACCATGCTACAGTGAGTAAGGGTAGAGGCGAGGCCCAGCCAGGTTCACACCACACAGGTGTTCAGCCCTTTTCCCCAACAGAAGCTTCTAGAAACTCATGACATCGCCTGTGTATCCTGACTTGTGAGGTATTTATTATGAGCTCAGTATTCCCTACTCAGGTGGAGGCGATCCAGTGTTACTTCTGAAAGTGAAAGAAAATGTTTTTTTGATGTGTGTATTTCGACTATTCCACTATACTACAGTGCCCCCTAGGGGCATGCAGGAGAAACGCAGGAAAGGGACACTTTATGGACTGCTTGGGTCTCACATCTGCAAGGGAACAAACATTAGATGTGGCAGATTAGCATCCTCCTGGAGCAAACCCCTAGACGCTTGTGCACCGCAGGGACCAGCCCCTCTTCTCAGTGACTGCATGGTTACCCATATGCTTACATGCCCTTTGCTGCCCAGTCCTTGGATTCCACACATTGGTGGTCGACTTGTATTTCATCAGGCCAAACGGGGCAGTACCAGATATCAAGATAGAGCCTCTTAATGCAAGCTGGGCCAAGGAGAAAGCAAAGGTCTCATTGCCAAATGTCATGACCTGCCCACTCCGGTCTAGTTGCAGATAAACAAGGGGCTGGATAACGGGACAAAGCCTGGCTCAATGCCAGGAGTCCCATTATTCTAACAGGAAGGCAACCAAGTTATCAGCGGAATAGACTGGGATAAGAGGACCTCAGGGAAGGTTTTGTTCTGTTTAAGAAGCTGCTTGATGTCTTGTTCAGAACATTAAGAAATCAAGCAGGTGCCCTTCAAGGCACTTTCCCCAGTGCCCTTCAAGTTTTTCATATTTTGTTTGTTTTAAGAACACGTTTACATAACGCAAAAGCCTACCAGCCACTGGAGCAGTGAATTCCACCTCCCCTCGTTAGAGGTTCACAGGACTGATCCCTAGGCGTTTTCAGGCGCAATCGTACGCGTTCGATCGTAGCTTGTTTAGGCTTTTGATGTTTTAACTTTGTACCTGGTGTCCTATTTTGAATGCACAGTGCTTTGCCACTGTACAAAAACCTTTTTGTGTTGCTGTGTACCATAGGGAATTGACACAACAGCCCCTTCTATTTCTCAAGTGTTGCTGTGGTCGTTACGCAAAATATATTGACCACAGTTGTACCACACGCTAACGAATGCAGCGTAGCTTGCGTCATGTTTAAGTGTGACCTTGGGTCACACACAAATGCAGTTATGGGAGTATTAGGAGGCATTGGAAAGGGGACACGTGTGCGAGGAAATCGGCCTCAGGACTTCATTGGGGGTTTCCCTTCATTTGAGCCCATCTGTGCTTATTTGCTGGTATGACATGGCAGAAATATTACAAACAAAAACAAAAAATGAATTCACAGCTCCTTCCAGAAGCCGAGGAGGAGCTGTGGCCCCCTTCCACCCAGTGCTGGCTTTGCAGGAATAAACCCCATTGAAGGCAATAAGATTGACCTCTGAGTAGGCAGGTGTACTGGGGCATTTTCAGCCAGTTGCTCCCCGCGCCCCTCGCACATGCTGACTTGCACGGGCGTGAGCACCATGGCATGGATATCAGGGGTTTTCAGACAGCTGTTCCTCACCAAGCACTTGAGGCCAAGAGAGAGATGTGCGTTATTCAGAGATTCACACCTCTACACCTGCACAGCAGATCCTGTTTTTAAAAGGCATCTGGTAGGATGCCTCCCCATTGCAGCACAACTTCGCCAGCTCACCTGTTTGCTGAAGCCACTCCCATTTGCCCCAGGACAGTAACACAGGTTTAACTCACGCTGGTTGCACTACAGGAAAGGTCATGATGCAACTTCTCTGAAAGATTCTATGACATGACAGCAGAAGCTGCATGAGGAGGTCAGTTTGGGGTGTGCCTCATGTGACACACACCGGAAAGTCCAGCAGAATAATGCCAATAATGAGCCCAAATGGAGAGCCCCTGCCCTTTCTAAGGAGCCCTAAGAAAAGGCCGCGAAAGCCCCTACGTAGTGCAGGAATGTGCTGCATGATACCTTGCACTGCAAAAACCTTGCTCAAATGCTGAGTTAAATCATGATGATGGCTGATTGATAGCCCACACTGAAATCAGCAATGAAAAAGTAAAATCAACAAAGCCTCCATGAATACAAATGCACAAGTTCAGACGAAAAACCAGCAATGAACATCACGTAATGGGACAGTGCATCAAAACAAGGGTTCCTCAAGCACAGCAGTGCTCCTTTGCGTACCAGTGCCAAAAAACTCTGCTGAGCAATTCTCAAGGGACGTGCAGCGTGTGTGCGCGTGCACACATGCATGCAAAACAGTAAGAGCCAGAAATGCCAGATGCTGGTTAATTCTACCACATTTTGCACATCCCGTCAAGGGTTTGGAGCCTTGTGTCTGTCAAGGTCTGCACTTCTCTGGGGAATCTCTCAGGGATGAAGCGGGTGGTGAGCCCACCCCTTTTTGACTTCCCCCCTCCCTCCCCTCTCACTTTCCCCCTTTCCCTCATCCCACATCCACCCAGTGGATTGCTGGGGGAAGTACAGCCCACCTGTCAAGGTCAGAGGCAGCTTCAGGGCTCCCTCTGCTGGCCAAGGACCAGCATAACAGCCCTGGTCATTGCAGGATTGCTCCCCCAATCTACTGCAGCGACTGGGACTTTCATGGGCACCACCTGGGAGCCCCAGGGGAAGAGCTATATAAGAACTGGCCCTTTCCTCCAGAAGCTGCCTTGGTAATGAAGGTTTCTGGGCTTGCTGCAGTGCTACTTGTTTGTTGTGACCGGAACTTTTGAACCCTGCCACTGCCATTTGCTCCTGTCTGCATTGTCTCCTCGGTTTCCTGACTCCTGGCTTGCTTGACCACACTTTGCCTCTTGAACTGGACTGACCTTGCTCTCCTGCTCCTGGCACTGACCTCGAACTGTGGCTCACAATCGGGATTAGACTTTGAAATCTAGCCTGGCTGCCTGGGTCCTGGTACCCATGCCAGTTACTCAGCTCCCCACAGCCTGGATGCTGGCACCACTGTTGTCACAGGTTTGAACAAATAGCTTGCAGAGGGCTTCGGAAACGAGACCAGACCTTGTGCAAGGAGGCCCTTTGGAATATTTTGGCGCCTGAGGAAATCCCAGAAGCTCTCCACTTCCTGGCACAAAAATGCAGTGAAAGCCAACCTGTGGTGCTGGGTGTCGGACTGGGGTCCTGGCTGATCCAGGTTCTAGTCCCCACGTGGCCATGACTTCTGACAGTCACTCACTCTCGACCTAATGTACCTCAGAGGGCTGCCGTTGCCAGGATAAAATAGAGCCATGGAAGCTGCTTGAGCTCCTCACAAGAGGGGGAGAGGGGGATATAAATGCAATATGATAACAGCAGGGACACACTGCTGCCCTTTTATGAGAGCCCAGTCAGCTAGGCTGTCACACCTCTCTGCCCAGTGGTGCAACCAGCCCTACACAGTCCCTCACTCAACGTCTGTTTTGCAATTCTTTCTTGCAGCGGAACTGAACACCATCGCTCCCATCATCTCCAACTTCTTCTTGGCTTCCTATGCACTGATCAACTTCTCTTGTTTCCATGCATCATACGCCAAATCTCCAGGTTCACTTTCATTTTCTATTTTCAGTTCTATCTATTAGATATATGCTAGCTCGTTCTTCTAAAACTGGGTACCGTCCCCAGAAAGCGGGGTTGAGGCTCTGGGCCAACATCATGTTATCATTTACATCCTGTAGCCAGAGGGCCCATACTGGAAGCCAGTCTCTTGGCTCCACGGCCAGGCCTCCCAGAAGAGCATGGCTGACGTTCACTGAGGTATTTCCTTTTATATCAGTGATAAGGATCAGGTTTCTTCTAGGTACCACCCAGTTAATCACAGAGTTGTTGTCCTTTTTAGAATGCAGTTTAGCCCTTTCCCTAACTGATTCGCATTGCATAAAATGCTGGTGACAAATCTGCTAAATTATTACTTGCTGGCTAGAAGTTGCTTGCTATATATTGGGATAGTTCTAGTGGGCAACTCATCTATCGCATTCCCCTTGGAATGGGTGCCAAGGCAATAGCAGCACAATGCAAGGGGGCCATCTGAATGGTTTTGGCGCACTAACTGTTTTCTCCTCTGAGGCGAGGAGGCTGAAGCACTGCTGGGGTTGCATGCAGCATGACAGTGCCTCAGCCGCCCCCGTCCCCGTCCCCGTCCCCTCTGCACAGAGCCAGCTTTGAAGCCAGTCCTCTGATTTCAGAGCTGGAGCAGACGGAACCATGTCAGGTGCAAGGCCCTTTTCCAAGGTTGGCGCAGTCTTTGACAGTTTCTGTGTCTGTCAAGACAGTGCCTACCGGCCAGATGATGACATCCTAAACATACACAGGCAGTCCTTGAGTTATGAATGTCCAAGTTATGAACGACCAGTATTTATGAATAAACTGCCATTAAGTCTATAAATTTTAAATTACTGTGGAAAAGCATTATCGCAACAGAGAGAAGGGAAGTGAAAGCGGAGAGAGGGAGGCCTCCAAAGCATCACCATAGAGAGAGGGGAAGCGAAAGGGGAGAGAGGGAGGCCTCCAAAGCATCACCATAGAGAGGGGGGGTGGAAGGGGAGAGAAGGAGGCCTCCAAAGCATCACCATAGAGAGGGGGGAAGCGAAAGGGGAGAGAGGGAGGCCTCCAAAGCATCACCATAGAGAGAGGGGAAGCGAAAGCGGAGAGAGGGAGGCCTCCAAAGCATCACCATAGAGAGAGGGGGGTGGAAGGGGATAGAGGGGGGCCTCCAAAGCATGTCTTCCTGCCCTGCCCATCCAGAGAGTAATATCTCTCTGGCATTTCCTTACTGCAAAGAGGAAGCACTGGTAAGTCTGGGCAGGCATGATAGAGAGAGTTGCGGTTTTACCACGTTCATGGGGGACCTGTGCCCCTAACCCGCACAAGTGTGTGTGTGTGTGGGAGGGGTGACTGCATACATGACTTAGATACAAAATTGACTTAAATATGAATATCCTTTTTCTCAGGAACAGAACTCATTAACCTGGGGACTGCCTGTATTAAGGGTGCATACCTTGCCCCCTGTCAAATCCAACCCTACCATCAGCCATGTGGTCCAGGCAGTTAGGTGCTTGAAAATAATTTATTTATCATGTTTTCCAGCCCAAAGAGGCTCAAGCAAACATGCACAATATCTGAAAAACAAAATAGCAACAAAGTGACAAAAAATCCCATGCAGGTTACAGAACCATTTTATTAAACGTGGTCAGCTAACATGAAGGATGGTGGACTGCATCAGTTTGGCAGATAGGATACTGTTATGATTACTGTTATTTTTAGATGTTGTTATTCACGGTATTTAAAAATAGATCTTAAGATATTATGTTGGCACATACACCAATGAGTTAAGGTACATCCAAGCATAGGCCAACACAAAAATTTTCCCCTTTTCTTTTACAAAATAAGATTTAAAAACTAAAGAAAGAAAAATAAAGGCAAATACGCCTTTTTACCAGGAGGAGTGAGATGTACAATATACCACTGGAAAGCACAACTGATCCAAGAAAAATGCTAAATTTTAAAACTCAGTATATTTGTGTTACTTTTAACCAGCTGATCCCACCATATTCCAGGCATTGTCCATTTGGGGTCTTTCCACTAACAGTATCAACTGATGGTTTATGAAATGAATCATCAAATACATTTGTGTAATCTGAATTTTGCCATACTCTAATATCCTTCTGAGTCATTAGAAGAAATGTGCATTAAACAAAAGCTACCTTTTATGGCTAGAAAGTCATTATTCGGATTTTTCTGCAACCCAGTCTAGTCTCAGAAAATAATGTAGGTCTCACACCCAGCTGCCACTAATTAATCTGCTCAACCCAGAGACTGAATTGCACTCGCAGCCCTATTTTTTACTCATAAAAGAGGCAACTTCCTACTGCTGCCCATCATTCCCTGCACCACACGTAGCTGTTTATTTCAGCTGAGGAAAAAGAGTCCTTTTTTTTCCAGCAAGAAGGAAACCGCTGTGGTGGCGTAAGTATATATATCAACCCTTTTCTTCTCAGTTTTCAAGCTGCTTCCTGATCAAAGGGCAGGTTTAAAAAGACAACTTCCCCTAATTATCCACAGAGCTAACACAATTGCAGACCAGAACTGTACCAGGAGGGTGCTCCATAGCAATCGTGGTGCACAATATTCGGATATTGTGATTGTTTCGGGACTAGTTTCACTCCAAAAAGTCAAAACAGAAAAGATGGGCCCACTTCTTTTCGATGGCTCTTTTCCTTCAGCCAATTGTGGGGCCTCAGCCCATTCGGTGCTCAGTGGAATGGAGAACAGGACAGAAACCGTGCTCCCTAGCAACGCTTCCACTCCATCCGTATTAGGAGGATCGGAGTCCTGCCTTGTATCTAGTTATCTGTTATATTTCTGCACTGCCCATCTGCCCAGAAGCTCCCTGGGTGGCTCACAACATAGTAATAAAAAATGCCAACTTTTGACATAAAACAGTCATGAAATCGTTATAATATGATTAATGTAAATGCAGTAATACAGTGAACAATGATCTACCCACCAATGCCCACAGTTAAATCGCTCCAGAGGTGCAGTAGTAAAATATAGTAAAAAATGAAAATAAAACTCTAACTATTCAAATATTGGGGAAATAAAAAGGTTTTCATTGGGCACCAGGAAGAAAAAAACCAGGCATCAGGCCCACTTCTTTGGGGAGCTGATTCCACGGATGGGGTGCCACAACCGAGAAGGCCCTTCCCCTACTAGCCAGACTTCCTTTCGAGGGGACCCTGTGAGAAGGACCTCTGCTGATGATCCCAGGATTTGCGCAGGCACCTGCCTGAGGCATTTCTTCAAACGCCCAGGCCCCAAACCGTTTAGGACTTTGAACTGTAATGCCGGCACTTTGAATCAGGCCTGGCTTCAAGTGGTAACCAACGCGACTGACAGAGGACGGGGGTGATGTGCTGCTGCCGGCCAGTCCCATTCGCAGCCTTGCTACCCTCTTTTAAGCCAGTTGAAGTTTCCGGACCGTTTCAAAGGCAGCCCCACATGGAGCGCATCCCAGTAGCCCAGGCAAGAGGTTACCAGAGCATGGGTCACTTTTCTCGACTCTGCCTGCCCAGGTGGGGTTGAAATTGGTAAATCAGACCAAGCTCCTGGTCACTGAGTCCACTGTGACTCCAGCGGCCATTCAGAATCTAGGAGCAGCCCCAAATTATGAACCCTGACCCTTAGGGGGAGTGCGACCCCATCCAGGATGGGTTGACTATTTCCCCACTGGACAAATGAACCACCTACAACTGCAGCTCCGTCTTGTCTGGATGGAGACTCAGTTTATGTTTACCATCCTTCTATCGTTTGGGAGCGAGCGCAGTTGAATGAAGCGGACGTCTCTGGAGGCATGCACAGAATTGCTCTGTTGGGGTTTCCTTCAGGGTGGGCTTGCCCCCCTGGCTGCCCTGGGGGCTCTGCTTTGTCCCGAGGCACAGGTGGCCCTGGAGGGGAAGGGGAGGGGCCTGACCTGGAGACTTGCGGAGGGCACTCCTGGGTTGGTTGCAGCTGGAACGAGTTTGGCAGGGACAGGTAGGAAGCCTTCTTCCTGGCCTTCTTGTGGAAGATGGCCTCAAGGGGCCGGCAGGGGTGGTTCTTGGGGCTGGCACACTGGGGCTGCAGCCCGACTCTGGGGGAGCAGGGCACATGCCAACCGTGGACGCCATGCCAAGATCTACTCATCCTCACCCTGTTAGGGGCTCCCGGCATGTGGTCTGGGATGCAGCTCACATCAGCAGCCACCCGATGAAGGGAGCTCTCCGTAGGCCGTGCCAAGCACTGAGCCCAGGTGCGGCCACGTTAGAAGCCAGCATTGCCTCTGCGTCTGGCGAGGCAACTTGGTCCACGCAGAGAACAGCCGAACCCAGCTTGCCTCCATTGCCAGGCATTGTCCTTAACTCCCAGCTGGGAAAGGTGTTAACTTTTCCCAGCACAAAGGCCGAAATTGTGGAAAGAGGAAACATTGTGCAGGCCAACAAGTGTCAGGACTGGCCCCTCAAAGCTTTGCATCCACGAAGTAAGAGTTGCAAGGAGTGAGGAGTAGCTGCAGGGGCCGATGTGGATGATAGAAGAGCAACCCATGTTTTCAAAACGGGTTTTGCCCATGTGGATGCCAGAGAATCCCTAAGTTTAAGCTGCCTGGGCCTTTATAAAACCTGGAGCTCTGCTCAGAGCTAGTTCCTCTGAGCTCCACATGCTGTTCTAGTGCTCATCTTTCACAATGCAGGGGTGCAATCAGAATAAAGACAGACAGAATAAAGTCCCAAACTCTGCATGTCCCAGGCAGCCATGCTGGCTGGGAAACATTGAGAATGATAAGACTCTTTTCTGCCCAGACATTACAGGACCGTGTCCTAAATGGTTTGGGTCCTACATACCCTAAGAAGACTCTCCTATATGTGCCTCCTGCTCCAAGGTGTTATGATTATACTGATATTTCTTAGAAGCTTTAACATATTTAAAATATGTTTTGATATAGTTTTGATACACGGGAGAGGGGAGATGGGGGAAAGAGCTTACTCAAACAAGCGCCCCCTATCCTTCTACATATTGGCAAAAAGTCATTTTGCACCACTTTAAACATATTTCCGAAATTAATCAAGGCGTGTGTCACAAGCACTCTGCCACAGCCACTGCCCGAACCAAAGCAGCAAGCAGGTCTCCTAGCAGCAGTTGACACACTCCTGAGACTTGGTTCCAGCTCTTCAAGGATTCTGCTCGAAGCATTGCAAAAACCTGCAAAAACCAGCTGGATAAAGACGATGCCTTCTGGAGCCAGTGATTTCTCTAGCATGCAGCCTCTGAGTTGCTAGGAAATGACAGTCTGGTGCAGCCAAGCTGGAAAGTTTGTGCTGTCTGGGGGTAGTTCCTTTTCATTGTAAACATGAAATGCACCTACAGTTAAAATACATAAATGGATTGAGGAAATGTTACAAAAACCTTTAATATTTAAACCTGAGGTTTTCCTATTAGGCATTATTTCTGATGACTTTGATAATCAAGCAACATACCTGATTCTACATGCAATTACTGCGGCAAGGATTGTATTTGCCCAACATTGGAGGATTTTAAAAAAGATCTTGGATTGCACAGAAATGGACAGATTGATCTTGTCTCTGAAGGAGAAAGAGGATACATATTTCTATCAAACCTGGAACTCTGTTATTGGCTGGAGAAACGGGACTATGCATAGATTTGAATATGGTTATGGACTGTTAAAAAAAAAGAGTAGGGGGCTGATCCAGTATGTCTGATGTCTCTGATGACTGATGTTTTAGTGTTAGTTTGTAGGAAAAAAATAATACTAAAACTTGTTTTTTTTTTTTTAAATGAAATGTACCTACAGTTGTGCATATACTAGGAGCAGGGATTAAAATAGCCACTTCCTTGGGGAAAGTTGGGGTGGAACATCAGGGAACATAGTAAGGCGGACACACTGACGGGCACGGTCGCAATGTCCCTTCCCTGCTCATGACTTGCGCGCTTGCTCTGACTTCCACAGGCTGGAGACCTGCTTTCCGGTATTACAACAAGTGGGTGTCCCTGTTCGGAGCCCTGCTGTGCTGCGGGGTCATGTTTGTCATCAACTGGTGGGCTGCTGTCATCACTTACGCCATCGAGCTCTTCCTTTACATTTATGTGACCTATAAGAAGCCAGGTAAGGCTGGACTGCTGTGCACGGGTGAAGAAGGGCTCGCTCCAGTGTATAAGCCTCAGGAGCAGTTCAGAAAGGGTATGAGGGAATATTAGTATTTCCTTAAGGGGAAAAAATGGATCTCTTCCACTATTATTGTTTATGGATTCCCTGTTCTGTTATTCCTGTCATCTACATGAAGTTGTTAATCTGCTGCCTTTGCTTGCGGTTTTGTCACAGTCGGAGATCTGAGCACCACAGAAATATTTCCTTTCTATTTTTCTGCAACTTAACCTCTAGGTGGCACTGTGGTAAGGCAGAATAGTGGAAATACACAAGAGGGAAAGGTGCTTTCTTTTGCCAATCATAAATAATACCCCATTTTCCCTGCTTTTTTTTTTTAATGTGAAGAGTACGGTTTCCAAATAGAAGCAAAACTAGAAGGTCATAACCTTGTCTAAAGAACTCATAAACAACTGAGTAGGGAAGGGCAAGCACACAACAAATGCGTAGAAAAATGTTATGTGATTCAGACAAATAAATGTTTAAACATAAGCTATACATGTTGGCAACATATCCAGCTTACCTATAAGAAAATACATCGAGAGAAATGTAAGAGGAGGACACTGCATATCTTAATCCCTAATTCAGATTTCTCCAGCCTTCAAGATTTGTTGAACAGCAACTTCCCCCAGCCAGCATACCTAGAATGTGTCAGCTTTGCAAAGTCTGCCTTGATCGATCCTCTTACTCCATTATCTTTTATTCCCCAGAGTGCTTTTAATCCAACCCTAGTGGAAATACATTTTTTAAAAGACCCATCGTTCCTAAGAAAATTTTATTCACCCCTACCTTGAGTTTCTAATTCTACCTGTCAGGTGGCTGTTACTGCTTTCATGAAGCACACCTGCTCTCTCCTGCCAGAAATATCTCTAGGGAGATGACTCAGACAGCAACCTCGGGAAAAATTGTTCTGATTCCAGACATATCTGCTATTAAGGCTTTTATGGCAGTACTGTTCAGTCCCCCTTCATAGGCCACTCGCATTGGTCAAAAAACCTGTTCTCCTTTATCTTTTAATCTAATAGTCATTCCACCAACCCGATAAATAATTGAATTAGCATTGTGGAAGCCAAACGGGGCTGCTTAAAATTATGTTGTTCTATATACTGGGGGATACCTTGGTTATACAAAAGCAAACAAGTCTTAAAATGGGTTTTAAACCCTCCAATATTGTCCTGCAACCTTCCAAGACCTTACGGTATGTGAAGGGCAGAGGGACACAGCATCCTAGCATAACTCTCATTATCCAATGAACGAATTTCTGAATTCACACAAAATACCAGAAATAGAAAATTTGGTCCTTGCTGTTATCTTTTGGGTTGAGGAGAATGGTATGCAGGAGGTATACCCTGTCCAGTCATTTCAAAACTGGTGGATTGCAACCCACAGAGCAAAACAATAAAACTTGGCTCTATTAAACGCTTTCATTTTAAACAAGGGTCCCTCTCCAGTGTTCTCCCTGACTATGCGCTATTTCTCTTTTTCCCCCCTGACTCCCCCTCAGGCCAAAAACTGGGGATGTTGCCCTCAGCTACCTCCTGGTTTCTCCCAGAAAGATACCTTCTCCTCTGTATATTGTTGCATCCCTTCTCTTTTGAAAAACAGAAAAGTAAAACAGAAAAATTAACCAGAACTTTATACATAGTCTTTCAGGTGTGCTGGTTTCTTAGTAACTCGCCCACTTTGAGTGTGTCTGAGATCAGTGATTACATGGCTGAGTCAGCCCCTGTAACTTCAAGATGTGCCTTGGCTTCCACCTCGTCTTCTATAGTCATCTTTCCTGGGCCTTCCTTGGCGCACCGCTGCCCGGCTCAGTCCTTGGCAAGGATTCCCTGCCTCTCACCCTGCAGAATCCTCTGCTGCCTGCATGCCTGCCCCTCCCTTGTTCAGATTCACGGCATCACCTGCTTCTTCTGCGATGCCTCATTAGTTGTCTGCTCCACACCTGTATCTTGTTTGGTGGCAGGTCACTCGTATCATGCTCATTACAGACGCTCTGTGCCAGACACCGTCCTACTCTGCTAGGGCCTGGAACTCTCTTGCTGGTTCTGCCTATATTTCAGGGGCCTCCTCAGTTCACCAAGGGCTGATTCTGTAACGCTTGCTCTGATCACCTCCTGCTGCATGGGACTTCCTAAACGCATCATGCTCAAGTATCTCTGGCTCTTCTGCATTGTACTGCTTAAAGACTGGGGCTGTTGGACCATCTTTCATAGAAGGAATGTTGCTCCATGCACTCCCAAACTGTCGCTCAGTGTGTCAGCTACCTCAGGAATTCACCATTCTCTGAGACGTGGTTAGAAAATTTAGCCAAATTGTTGATAATTCCTAGAAATCTCTAGACTCTGTCCAGGAAGCACACGCCATCCAAGAAAAAATCTTTTAGATTGTTACAGACACACTTTGGCTAAACTCCTTTGCTACAACTTCAGGGAGGTGGGGATTGGGCCCAAACTAAGAAACGTAGGACAGGCAGTGTTAGCAGCACAGAGAAATTCTAGTAAGAAAACTAGATGAGAATGTATTCCTTCCAACAGGAATGGAAGAACACTAGGAACTTCTAAGAGTTCTCTTTATGAGTATGTTGGGCCGCATACTTTTGGGAGAGCCTTTTTGGAAATGAACATGTCTCCTCTCTGCACACCAATCTTATAATTGGCCCACCCACACCTGCTGACTTCACGTACTTGCTTCGTCTGTCTCTGAGGAACTCTCCTGTCTCAAGCATGCTCCGGATAACTGTCTCTCTGGGCTATTCGTGGAGGCTGCCGGAGCACCTGGCGAGTCTGGCCTTGAGATGAGCACCTCCTCTCAACACCTGGAACTGGCCCACAGTCTGATCCCCCCCCCCCGACCCATCCACATGCCCTGGAATTGCACACCAAGAATCAGAGAATCAGAGAACCGTAGAGTGGGAAGGGGCCATGAAGACCTTCAAGTCCAACCCCCTGCTGTTGCAGGACACCAGGTCGCACCATCCCACTCAGAGGGCTGCCCAGGTTCTTTATAGAAAGAGCAACTGCCCTCTCATTCCCAACACGGGATGAAATTAAAGAAGATTGGAGCCATATCTTTGATCATATTCATAGAGCTATAGCTTTGGAAAGGACACTAAAGTTCATCTAGTCCAGCCCTCTGTTCTATGTTGGATAAGCTATCCCTCTTAATTAGTGTATGCCACATCTTCTTTTCTATCTGCATTTATTTGGGGGAAATCATAAGCCCATCTCCAGGAATTGGCAAGTGCTTGGCGCCCCAGTTCTATATCTGCTTACCTGGGAATGAGGCCCAATGAACTCACCCGGTGGACATTCCTAGGATTGCACTGTCGATCCCATTCATAAAGTCAAGCTGCAAAAAATGGGGTGGGGGGTTACTTGCTGCTTTAATTGCTGTTTTATAGGAGAGGAGGTTATATGTGAACTACAGTGAGCTTTTCATTAGACAGCAAAATCTACTGCAAGCAAAGATTCCCGATTACGAAAAATATCCCATTACTAAAAGCTTCTTTCAGGGCAGTGAACTGGCAGGATAATCCTGCATGTATCTTCTCAAAAGTGCTTCCCGGTCATGCTGACTGCAGAATGCTGGGAGTTCTGCCTTTTCTGGCTAAAAATGCCATAAGGCTGTTTTGCATCTCACCCATAAGTCAAATTTCCATAGCTTTAGTTTATCAGAAGTGGATGCCTTCTGCAAAAGAAGGCAGAAATGAAAAGCATTATAATATGTGATATTTTTCTTTGCAACAACAGAGGTAAATTGGGGGTCATCAGCACAGGCGCTTTTCTACATTAATGCCGTTGACAGTGCGCTGGATTTAACAGCAGTGGAAGAGCATGTGAAAAATTTCAGGTGAGGTCACCATGGAAGCGGGTCCCAGTTTGCCATGCACAAATGCATTGCCAGATTTAACACCCCTTTTTGCTTTCAGACCTCAGTGCATAGTATTAACCGGAGCACCCATGACGAGACCAGCTCTGCTAGATCTTGCCCATTCATTCACAAAGAGCAATGGTCTCTGCATCTGTTGCGAAGTATACATGGTAAGTTCAGTCCACAGCCTGCTTCACACAAAGTCGTGGCCCCAGGAGGTAACTCGGGTCATGGAAAGAAGTTACCTATGTGTTCTGTCTCCACTCTGTGGGGAAACGCTGGCCAGTGCAGTGGACACAGGCCTACAGCCTAGTCCTTCTTGAATGCATGATTTGCTGCATCCAGCACTTGTCCACGTAGGGGCCCTCTCTCCACATTATTTGTTCAGAATATTATTCTCTCTCCTCTGCGTGAGGCCCCACAAGATGGCTTATGGGGGCAAAGGAGGACAGCACACCAAGTGAATAATCTGGTTCATAAACAATAACGATCCTCAGACAAATTAAAATAGAGCAGGGAGCAGCAGAACAGGCCATTCTGCTTGAGAGAGTCAGCAGCTCTTGGAAATGGAAGCACCATTATGTATTTATGCATTTCCTTGCATTCCTTTATGCATTTATATACCACCTTTATGCCAGGGCATCAAAGGCAGCTTACAGTGTTAAAATACTGAAACAAACAAAGGCTAGAAAATCAGGTCAATTGAAGGGTTTTCCAGGAGCTGGTTGCCACTTCACTTCAGCCTTTCCGCTGGACACAAAAGCCTTCCGACTCAGTGTCAGTGGGACAATCAATGCTCCAAGATTTCTCTTAGGCCAGTTGAAGAACAAATGCCCGATGTTCTAGAGCAAAGTGGGCTGTACTACTCCCCTGGGGGTGGTGGGGACAGTGGAAAGATCCACCTCTGGTGAGAAAAAGGGTGCCAGCAGGAAGGCACTAGGAGATTACAGGTTATGAACATCCAGGTTATGAACAACTCATACTTACGAATGCATGGACTGCCATAAGCCCTATATGAATAGTTCTAGTGAAAAGTCATGCATATTGCTGGGAAACTATGCAATGTGTTTGCTAATGCATCACCAGTGGCTGCATAATCACTGGTGACAGAGATAGTCATGGCTTTTCGTTAGAGATAGAGATTTGCTAGAGATTGTCAAGGCTATCTCTAAAGAACTATGCAACGTATCTCTCAGGAACTATGTGATGTGTTTAAAGCCTAGTTCCCTAGAGATAGAATATTCACAACTTTTTGTTCCATAGCATCAGCTCAAGGGTATCCAAGCCAGTGTGTTTTGGGACACATGTATGGCATGTAGCTCCCTTTGGCTCTTCTGTTGTGTTTGCCCTTGTAACCTGGCCCTCCACTGCTACAAGGCCATTTGTGATAAGAAAAAAGAGAATGGCTATGCAAACAACCCTTGAGGCCTACTTCAAGAAAGCGACTCCATTGGTAACCCCCCCACCCCACCCCCAGCAGCACATTCAAACTCTGATTCTCCAGCACCAGGTCCATCTCCATCTTCATCAGTTAATGCTATTTCAGGAATACTCTAAACTGCTTTAAGAACTGTTTATCTTACTCACTTTTTTTACAATACTGTGTACCTGCACACATAGATACCTATGTACAGATTCTTTCTCTCTTCCCTCAGTACCTGTAGTTACTTTATTATTACTGTATTATTATCATTATTACAATGTTGTATTGTGTTTACGATGTTTTAATGAATATTGAACTGTTTCTTAACTGCCTTATATGTATAGAAAGGTAAAATATATACCTATACTATTTGGTTTACTCATATGATCTGACTTACGTACAAATTTGACTTAAGGACGTTCTCAGGAATGGAACTTGACCATAACCTGAGGATTACCTGCATAGTTCACTACTACAAAAGAAACAGAGAGGACAAAAAGGCAAAAGTTTGTACAGTAGGACCGCTGAGGTGTCTGCCCCCCATACACACACCCTGCAAGTCACCATCCATGGCAGTGCCCACCTCCGGATGCCCTGCTGAGAGCAGGGACAAGGGACAGGCAGTGAGAGAGGCCAAGCAAGCGAGGGGTATTGAACCAGGGGCACTAGAGTCAGCAGCAGCCCCCAAAAGAGTGGGGATCACTATGGGTTTAAATGGCAACATTTCCCAACTTCCAATACAACTTAAAATAAAAGGAAGGTCTGCAGCATCTGTTTTGGAAGCTAACGTGGTGCATTAAATCAGAGCGCTCTCTTCAAAGACAGTAGCCGCAGGTTCAAATCAAAGGCTAGAATTAGACAGTTTCATGCCTAGATGAAGTGCTCTTTTATGGGAAAATGTTCCTAAATAATTCAAATATTGCAGCACAGTCCAAAGCAGGAGCTAGTTGATCTTTCTTTGCCTAGTTGACCTGCACGGTTGGAGCCAGTGGAAGTTTTACTGCTGAGTCCCAGTGGGAACATAATTAGGGTACAGAAGAGCTTCAGGTCGGCAAGTCTTTTGACTTAGTGCAGTATTAGTAGATTTTTATTTCTAAAATATTTAACATAAGATGCTGTGCTAGTGTAAGCATTTTGGTTGCTTTGCTCCTCCTCTGCAATGTAGGCTGAGCTTAGTTTTATTGGCTAATAAAAATGAGACACAAGGAACTTATGATGTAAGAAAGAAATCGATCCCATGCAGGGCTGACTTCTGTAAGCACTCTGCATTGTGTCAAGATTGCAACTCAATTCCTCTCGGAGCATTCCTAAGAACACCATGACAACACACACACAAACACACACACACACACACTAGCAGGCTATATGCAATAATTGGCCCTAAATCACCTGAAATCCAATTACTTCCATTTAACTGAATTACAGATGGGGCTGCTGTGTTAACTCTATGCCATTCTTCTGAATATTTAAGAGCGACAGCACCTGCTTTTAGTGATACATATTCAAGCGACTCTCTGCCTGCTATCACTCTAACTAAGTGATGTTAACACACTTATCCTCCTGGAACAGAAAGCGAGTGACATGACCAGCAGGCTTCATTTCAAAAGGCTCCGTCTCTCCGGAATCCTTTGTAGAAATGTCTTTTTCCCTGGCACTTTTTCCATCCCCTTACACCAGACTCAGGAACTCCTTCAAAATCACGCTATTGTGTGCTACATAATACAAAGTCCTTTCCCTAATATGCAGTTGTGTCATGCAGGGCCCACGCAAGCTGTGCGTTACAGAGATGAACAGTGGCATGGCAACGAAGCAGGCCTGGCTGACAAAGAACAAAAGAAGAGCCTTTTATGCCGGCGTGGCGGCCGACAGCTTTCGAGATGGCGTCAAAAGTCTCCTCCAAGTAAGCTCTCTATTTGCAGACCACGTGCGAGGAGTATTGCTTTACAGCCGTCTCTGCTGCGTGAAGAACGGCTGTTTATTCGTTAAGAGCCCTTGTCGCGTACGTGGATAATCTCTTGTAAACGCAGAACTGTATCTTGAGGGCACCTCTCTTTGTCGTACGGGTTATTTCAGAAGCAATTCTGGATTCTGGCGACGGAACGATGAAATGAACAAATCAATCCCATATTAAGTGAGTGTGGACTTGGAGTCAATGGAGATGCCTTAAGGGTGCCCGGCAAATGTCTGCGACTACAAATGCTCCTTGCAAATGGCTTCCCTTGCCTATTCATATGCAGGGCATACGACATTTTATAGCACATTATACAGCAAAACCTATTTCACATAGTAAAACCATCCGTGCAGTTTCTTAGACCTTTCACACGTTGGCCTAACAATAATCCAAGTTTTTTAAAACTCAGGACACCGTGGGCAACTCACCTGGCCGCTGATTGGCTCCTCCTTGGCTGTGCCTGCCAATGGGAGCAGCTAAGCAGTCCAAGGCACCCCAATCTGGCCTGTCTCGCCTGATGTCTGAACCTGGAACTTTGGCTTGCTACTTCCCTGGCAAGCCAGAATTGGAACCTGAAGGTGAATCCTAGGTTCCAATGTTGGTTTGTCAGGCGGGAGACAAGTCAGAATTCTGGGACTGGAGTCTCCCTCTGGATTGTTTTCTTGCTACTGAAAAAGAGCCTAGTGGGAAAGAGCCAACTATATGACCAAGCCTGCGGACTCCTTCCAGGTAACCTATTAAAAACAACAACCCTGCATCACTGTTGCACACAAACTGGGCGATAATGGACAGATGTTTATCCTGGGCAGAAGAACAACGAGGCTCTGGAATATAATCCTAAACACATCTGAATGTTTGAGGCTGCCCTGCACTAAACTGGACTCTATGTCTTTGGGATCAGAGTGTCTCTGTGGTGGTTAAGAGTGCGGTGAGGACCTTGTGGGATCCAGGTTCTAGTTCCCACTCAGCCATGAAGTTCACCGGCTGACTTGGTCCTGGTTATGGTCTCTCAGCCCAACTGTAACTTACAGGGTTGTTGTGAGGATAAAAATGGAGTGGCTGAGAACTGTGCAAGCGGCTTGGCTTGCTCACAAGAAAAAAAAGTGGGATCTAAATACAATGTAATATAATGTCTGCTATATACACACACCATGTGCCATCAAACAAAATAAACACACGAATGCTTCTGAAATCAGAAGTATTCCTTAGTTTTATTTCCATATTTTTTTTAAGAATCGGGAGACTGCTTTCCAAACCCACTTTCTGGTTTACAAGTATATACAAACTATTTTCAAAAATCACCATGCTGCTATGAGGATAAAACAAAGAGAGCTATGTCCAATCCCTTTATTTCTTTTATTATTTCATCTAAGTGTAAATAACCAAAGATACTGCACAAAATCCAAATGAAAACCACAGAAAACACTAACAGGCAATGTTAAGATCAAGGAATGACAAAAATGGCAGGCTTTCTTTAAAACAAAGTTTGCTTTGACACGAAAACTATAAAGTGACATTGCCCAATTGGCTTCTCTAGGGACTGCAAAACCTCCCTAGAAAACACCCCGTTCTTTGCATCCCTGGATCTTTGGTCATGTCTTCCTATGAACATGCTTGTTTAGAAGACTTCTAGCTGAAGAGCTGGTTCCTATTTTGGAGATGTGCTCGGGGGCCACATCAGAGTTGATCTGGTGTGAAGGCACACAGAGTAAGACCAGAGGCAAAAGAGGGAGAGCAAAAGCTAAACAATTCTTGCGTATTAAAGCTCTCAGCTAAGCCTTAGAGGAGACATTCTGACCATTTTGAAGGCTGGGGAACTACACAAAACTGGGAAAACTCTTTAACCATCAGTGGTTCAGGGGAAGGGGGCTTGGCCGCCCCAAGCTCCTGGGACTGAAGTTCCCCACACCTGGTTTAAATTATCAGTTCTCATGTAGAGGCTGATTGGACACAAATTCAACAGAAAATTCACAGTGTGTTACCAAAGATTCTAAGAACAACCATTTTTTCTCAATCCAGGGCTTCTCTATTTATGCATTTACATCTAGAGAGTTGTTGGTTATCAGCTAAATGTGTGGATTGACTGTACTGAACCTTAGACTTAATCATACTCAGAGCAAACCTACTGAAATCAGTGGAACTAAATTATGACTAAGTTGTGTTATCAACATGTGTGTGTGTGAAATGAGCTTTAAAATGAGTTCATTCCTGAATCTGCAAACATTGCAGGTTAAGTCCAATACAGCAAATGCCAATAACTGTTCCCTCCTTCACTTTCACCTACAAATTACCTCCGTTTGGAAGCTGATGTCACCTGTTTATCTAGCCTTTTAAACATTTTCTTAAATCGCTCCAAGAATTATCATACAGATCGTAGGATCCTGCAGCCTTCTTCAGCGTTCTTTGTCCTGTATTAAATGGAAACACAGAAAAAAATCAGGGTTCTGGGTTATTTGAGGATCCTTCAGTGGGTACAGGGCAATTGAATGAGGAGAGGATGAGACAGGCCTGGGATGCCCCTCTCCTTGCATGTTCATTCAAGATGGAAGGAAGAGCATCCCAAGAGGGATTACCTGTGCTCAGCTAGAAAGCCACAGTCTCCATGGATACTGAAAATCATACAGCCTGAGCATATGAAAGTCCAAATTTCCACCGTCCCCATTAGGTCCAACTCAACCAGGTGTGCACGGGATTGCAGTCTTAAATGGATCAAAGTTATCCCCATGTAAAAGGACCTGCTCACATCTTTCTAAATCGTAGTAGCACTCTTTAGAGGAACCTTGTACTTTGCTTACATTATGGATATAAAATGTGGGGTTATCATGTTAAAAATGAGCACACTACCAGTAGCATGAAAACTCTGTTGAACTTAAATGATTCCTCTGCTTTAATGAGTGTGCATCTGAAGAAATGCAGATGAGTGCTAATTTAGCAAAGCTACATTTCTGTCATCTAAAAACCATTTATAGCTGAGATGATTTAGAGCTAATCTTTATGTGTGCTGCTTGGGTGCAAGCATGAAGGACACTCTCCAAATGCAATTTAATCTTAAATCCCTCTGGAACATTACTTCGGTTATCTTCTGCCATTACTCCTCATTTTTGGGCAAACCTTGCACATGAGTCTTTTTAAACACCATGTTTTTATCTTGCTAGGCCTCTGGTTTGGGCAGAATGAAACCAAATACTTTAGTGCTTGGATTTAAAAAGGACTGGAGACGAGCCACGGCGGTCCAAGTTGAAAATTACATGGGTGTGATACAGTAAGTTGAAGGTGGACGCATGCTGTTTTTGTTTGAACTAGAACTGGCTGGCATAGCTGAATAGCTTCACTTAAACAAATGGGGAACATTCCAGCAGGTCACTGAACATCAAGATATGTGCTTCAAGTGGTGTGTGGGGACTGAGGGGAAAAGGGAGTGTGATCAGAGTTCCTCCTTTTTCTTCCTGTTGGCGTGCAGAGCAAAACACACACCACACACTTCTCCAGTGTATTTTAATGTCCACATTGCAAATTTAAACCAGATTTGCATCTGTTGAATTGCCATGATTCCCAGTGGAGCTCTGGGTTCTAAAGTATGACCAAGGGCTTCAGGGTCTTTAACAAAGTTTTCTTGACTATTACAATTTCTTGAGATAACCGATGAGCATAGCCCTTAAATTAGTGTGATACTGATTTAAATCTGTGGTCTGGATAAACCTTTGGAATGTGTACTTCCCCCACCACACACACACGCACGCACCATCTCAAAGCCACACGGCCAAAGATAGAACCGCTTGGCTGAATACACCGGAACTTACAGAAATAGTCAACAAAGCAGCACTGAGCATTGTCCCAAGAAAAATCTACCCTCTGCTTCCTCTATTTTATTTATTTATTTGGTTTTTTGCCTGCCTCATTAGCCACACAGCTCCCTAGGCGGGTTGCAGACATCAAACCATGTAAAAACAATATAAAATAAGGCCCTAGAGGGAGTTCCAAGCGTCCTTTTTCTGCATCCAAAAGACAAAAAGCCCAATGCACACTGGGCAGACTGAGTTTGAGCAGTAGGACAGGAAACAAAGGGTAATTCTTTTCTTTCTTGTTTGTTTAAACTCAAAATCATATCCTTGTGCAGCTTTTTCACCAGCAAGGGAAGGACACGGGGATCCCGTATTTTAATTCCCATAGAGGAAAAGGGTAATTTTTAGCCAAACACATCCTCTGTGAAACCAGATCAGGTTGCTTTAGATTCTCTCTCTCTCTCTCTCTCTCTCTCTCTCTCTCTCTCTCTCTCTCTCTCTCTCTCTCTCTCTCTCTCACACACACACACACACACACACACACACACA